GGGACGTGAAGCCGTGACCTGGATCGATGGCGTTCGTGACGCCGTAGTCACCCTGGACTTGGACCATTGTGTTGGGCAAGGGGAAGAGGCTGGTGTCCCATGTTACTAGATTCCGTGTTAGTGTTTGTTTGAAAGTCGAATTTTTCTTTGTGAAGGAGATGCTTACTCCAATAGGTCTTGCCTCCGTCGACCTTAGTATCAGCCTTGGGAGAGCAAAAGGGCTGGTTGACGCCGTTGGCTCCCGCAGCCTGGTTGCATAGAGGGAAGGACCCGGCGCCGTTGGCATCGGCCGTGGGGAGTGTCGAGCTGCCAGTGAAGGCGGATGTGGTCTTGCCATCGTTGACGGTTGGAGTGATTGTCTTGGCTGCGCCGTCGGCTTGGACCGTCACCCAGGGTCGAAGGGCATCATTGCTCTGCCGAGGAAGGATGGCGGCGTCGACTGCTTGTGACAGAGCCAAGACTGTGGCGGCCAGGCCGAGGCCTCTTGAGAAATCCAAAGCGACCATGACTTTGTTTCGTATACCAGAGAAAGAAAGACTCGTTTACCAGAACGAAAGGTTGTATTACAATGTGCCAACTGGTGGCATCTATGAAGGAACTGAAAACTTCACTCGAGGAACAAGCCAGAGTCAGCAATTGGAAACGAGGGACTGTCATGGTTATGTATCAGGAATCAGCACTGGACATTGGTATGCAAGAATGCGACGAATGCTTATCATGCGTGACTTGCGCTCACGGGACGCCTTGTTTCTTCGTCTTGAAACGGTGATGAGTTTGCCTTCAACCTGAGCGACCTGCAATGCAACCAGGAAACTTCGTGGCGACTGTCCTGTGAGTAAGGAAAAGTAGTATTTCGACTTCAATATTTTGTCACCTTAGGAAGTGCACACCTTGTGGTTTCCAGATGTCTCAATGGTTCCTTTCAGCTTCCGTACATGCTGCCGTCTTTCATCATGACAGCTGCTACTATCCGCCCAGGATCGAAGGATGTGCCCGTAGCTCTGTGAGGCTCTTGGTGGATGACAAGACGAACCAGTGGTAGCACCGGCCGAGAAAGGCAACAAGCTTACTGGCGCCGGCACACTGACAATGCAGGGGTTTCCCCTTGGCTCCGGTTTCAAGAGCAAGAAGCAGTCTCGTTTCTCACTGGACTGAGTGATCAGACCGGGTGCGCAGAGTGGCTCTACAGGCGTGAACCTTGGGCGTGTGTTGGTTGTGTGCCGTCTTGGTGGCACAAATCCGGGGACCGTTGGGGACTGAGCTGTTCAGAGGGATTTGGGTGATGAAGGGAAGATGGCAAGATGGGTCGGCACTGTGCCCATGGAGGTCCTGGCGCTTGCACACCCCGCTGGGTCCTCTTGTTGCGCTCGTTCACACGTTCGTGGCGACCAGTTGAGTTTTGAGATTTGGGGGGTATCATCTGCAAGGTTCGGCACTTTGATGAGATTCCTCTGGCGAAGCGAGTTGGTGCTTCAGATGGAACGGGTTGGCGACCGGGCCAAGGGGGGCAACGGCCGGTGCCTTTTAGTGCCGGATCATCGGGATTTGTGGAGACACGCGGGGCATTCTTCCGGGGCCGTTGTGCCCGGGGTTTCGGGATCGTGCCGCACTGATGCGCAGCTGGACTTGGTCAGCTGGGAGCTAAGGTAGTTTGGGTGTGTTCATTTCTCTGCCTGAACCAAAAAGACGACCCCGTAATTGCACATGCCAATCATGGCTCAAACACTCGATCGAGGCCAGCCTAGGTAGCGAAGAACTGGCCGTCTTGGCTGGATTAAAGGCCGGATAATATCCCGTCGGGTGCCATAAGCCAAGAGATCGAGAGTGGCAGTTGAAACTTAGCAGTCGAAATGGTTGAAACTTGTGTGGCCATTGCTCTGTGCCCCGGCGGGATCATCGCTGCTCTGCATCTCATTATACATACTCGAGGATAAGTGGCAGATAATCAATCAGATCTAGTGTAGCCATCTGAGATCGATCACTCCCGTTTATCCTTGCCGTTTCCTGAGCATATTTAGTAAGGTAGCTTGAATCAACCTTTGTTCATCCGTTTCGCCAAGATTACCATCGTATCTGCCGGCATTGGCCATTCTCCCCCGGCTTTTCTCCTTTTCTTGCACTGTATGTCTAAGGAGAAATTGAGTCATCCACCGTGGCTGAGGTCCCCATCCACGATGATCTTGACCCAAGTTGAGCAGCAATTAGCCTGCCCGTCACCCCAACAACCCGCCCGGAGCGCCGGACTATCGAGAAGGAGGCCGCACCGTCCACACACCGTCCACGACACCGTCCTGAACGCTGAGGTGCGCAGTGACGTCTTTTTGGTTCCTCTGTGGTCTCTGTGGTTCCCTCTGTTAACTAGCGGCAGCGCGTGCAGCCGCCAACGGTGCGCGATCGCCGGAGCTTCCCAACAAATCTTCCGTGGGAAGAAGGAAAGGTGCGACATTTCCTTCATCTTGGGTTTCCTTGGTTGCCATTGCTCCGATCTGACAACCTCCACGCCCGCCCACCCGCCAGCTCAAAGGTCCGCTTACCTGCAGCAAACACCGAGCTACATCCTCCATTAGGACTCCTCCATTAGCTTCGCACCGCACTCTCTCGATCTTTCCATAAATAATTCTCCTCTAATGTTTAAAGCAAGCCCATTGCCGCGCTCCCTCCCTTCCCGCCTCTTCTCCTCCCCTGCGCAACCATCACGTCCTCTACTCAGGTTCACCAATACCACCTTTGGATCTCAGCATCAACACCTAAACAAGCACCAGACTCCCAGCTTTTCCCACATCGCCTATCAGCGCGCACCACCATCATCATCATCGTCTACTCCTCCTTCTATCAGACCCGACCGCAAGATGGCTGAAAGCGACATTGAGAAGTATCTCAAGCAGACGCACGACCGCGTCTTCGAGAATAACCGCAAATGGGCCGAGGAGAAGAAGAAGCAGGACCCCAACTTCTTCGTCAGTCTGTCCCAGGGCCAAGCTCCCGAGTACCTCTGGATCGGATGCAGCGATTCGCGCATCCCCGCCGAGCAAATCACCGGCCTCGAGCCCGGTGAAGCCTTTATCCACCGCAACATCGCCAACATGGTCAATAACATTGATCTCAACGTCATGAGCGTCATTAACTATGCCGTCCGCCACCTCAAGGTCAAGCACATCGTCGTCTGCGGCCACTACGGATGCGGAGGTGTCAAGGCCGCCATGACACCCAAGGATCTCGGTCTGCTCAATCCCTGGCTGCGTAACATCCGCGACGTCTACCGCCTGCACGAGGCCGAGCTCGACGCCATCAAGGAAGAGGATGCTCGCTACGACCGACTCGTCGAGCTCAACGTTCTCGAGCAGTGCCGCAACGTCATCAAGACGGCCGCCATTCAGCAGTCATACGCCAAGAACAAGTTCCCCATTGTCCACGGCTGGGTCTTTGGTTTCAACGACGGTCTCCTCAAGGACCTGGAGATTGATCACGAGAAGATGCTGCACGACGTTCAGAAGCTCTACCACCTCCCCGGTGCCGACTTCTAAGCGCGACCGACCGACCTATCTACCTTGGGAAGCTGTATGCTGTCCCAGTGCGGGGTTGACGGAACGGGCGAGATGGGATGAGGAGGGGTGGACCGGAGCGTTTGCACACGGGTGACTCACGGATGGAGTTCGGCTCTCGACGGCTACCATCTGTGTGCACGCTGCATGGCGCTCATCGCGACATGGGGAAAATTTTCTTGTTGAGGGCGGCATCTTCCATACCCGTTGCAGATCCGGATGGGGCTGGTTGGCAGTACTCTTAGGTTCTGACCGAGACATGCCACCCCACCACAACCGTTCATCCGGTTTAGCTTAGTGGGAACTTGGGCCTGTCAACGAGCCGGGGACCCCACTACCGTGCATCTCCGAGGGAGTAAAGATTGAGAGGTGGTGGTGGTAGAGATTGTTTATCAAACAGCTGTCACCGGCGGAATTGTACCGGAGTTGAGGATTTGAGTTTTTTTTTTCAATGGAATGCGGGAGCTCTTGGGGATCGGAGCAGGTTTGGTGAAGACATGAGGTGCACAAAGCCAAAAGACTTGGTTCTTGGAGCTGGCAGTTTTTCGGAGTAGGACATATCAAGGGAAAACGCAAAAATATTATACTATTGCCCATCACCCTATCTCTCTACCTCCCGAAGATTGGCGGATGCCTCATGTATCGCCCAACAATGGTCGATCTAGTGTGACATTACCGCAGCTTTTGTCTACTAATCAGAATGCTCAGATAAATACTAGTCTGAATCAGTGTAACTCGCGACGAGGGTGATGTAAGTATCTAATGTGTAACAAACTTCCAAGCCGATTCCCTTTACATCTTCATCTACACTTCATGAAGATGGATGACATTCCTAACACCCCTGCCGTCAGATAAAGTATGCTACTACGCGGGAAATAGAATGACTCACCACGAAACGTTCCACGTATGCCTCCCACCGAGACTCTGGCACATCTTTTTGCTCCCCGTATTATATGGAGCCACATCGGCGGACGCCCAGCCATCGGCGCCATACTCACTCGTACCCCTCTGAATCAACTTCGATGCAAGGGCCTTTGCATAGCCTCTCTGTCGGTATGGTAGCTGAGCGGGTTTGTTTGTTAGACTTAAAGACCAGTATTGAAGAGTATTCTCTCCATATTGGTACGTGGGGATTTTGGTGCGACTTACTTCGCAGTGGAGACTTGATAATGATGCATCGGTGCCTAAGTAGGAGTTAGATTTACTCATACCGATGAGGGATGGTAGGTATATGTAAACACATCGTGGCGGGAAAGGAATTTGTAAGACGGCGTATGTATCTAAAACGCATTAAGCACTCACCGAGGAATGACCACGCGATGGGTGTTCCATCCTCCAGTCTAAGGATCAAACTCGGCCACGACATCAAAGTCTTACTACATAAACGTCAGTCATTCTACCCATTTCATAAAATCACGACCAACCTGACAAACCAAAAGCAAAAGAGAAGACGAAAACTCACACTTGGCGCGGGATATCCGTCCTCGAAATCACAATCTCACAATCCCTCTCCGTAGCTGGACCCCACGTAGCTCCCTCGGGCAACGTGACCCGGTCCTCGAAATCGGGGATCTCATCGACGCGGAACAGCCACTTCTCGTACTCGTAGTCTTGACGGGGCGTCACGCGCACGCCGGCCCGTAGTATGGCGTCCCGCGTGGGTGTGGCGAGGGTCCCGACGAGGCATGCTCCCGGGAGGGTTCTGTTGTCTGGTTGTTGCTTACTCACTTGTGTTACGGCGCCGAGAACTGCTGCGATTTGGGACTCGGCTGTTTCCTTGTATTCGTCTGTGAAAGTTGTATTGGGGGCGTTTTCTAGGGTTGAATATATGAAGAGTTGGGTTTCTTTGGTACTGCCGAAGTCGAGGTATGCTGCGCAGAAGTTGCACGGCTGTTGGTCAGAGATTGTGCCATCATTTTGTTGCGAGATAGTTGAAGTAAGTGATGCATCTGAGGCTAGGATGATCCGAGCTGTTGGGCGCATGCCGTCTTTGAAGCGGGTGAATTGAAGGCGGCGGAGGAGGACGAGGGAATTTGGGAGGTGAGATTGAAGGAGGGGGATGAGGCCTTCCGGCACAGAGGTGTATATTGTGGCCATCATGACTGATGAGTCTCAATATTGTCAAGGTATGTGATATAAAAGAGAGTTTGTGGTCCTCGAGGTGTCGTCTTCCAGACTGTTGGGTGTCGATATGACGTGCTGCAGCAATGATGTGAGAGATTCGTGAGGTGCGAAAATCGGCGGATTAAATATCCGCTATTAGTAGCTGCAGTACATCAGATATCAGCGCCGCAGCTGTATGATAGCTCCCGATTGATGGTGACTCATATTCGCGACTCAACTAACACCACTGCCTGTAGACCAAAACCGAACGAGAAATACTCATGACCCATGCTCAAAATCTTCTCATAAATGTAGTCTCACTCTCATGTTCATCAATGTTTAGAATGAATTGCTGTGGAGCCAATGGCTTCGTGACCCGTAAGAGATGCCATTGATAATACCATAGTCAAATTCAATTATAGTATCACAAAAGAGAGAGAGAGAATGTGTGTGTGTGAGTGTGGTAAAGGCACTAGCAAAACGTCTCCAGGCTCATGAGCTGCGATTGAAAAATATGAAAATGAAGAGGTGAACTCCATTGCCCATGGAAATAAGTAGGTGCAAATGGTAGTGAATAGGGTCTCACCTTCAACCTTCGGCCACAGTCTCTCGAAAAATACCCGAAAACTGAAGTAAGCTACATTTGGCGTGCGTAATGTAGTCTTGACAAACGGCGATTGGATCCTTGCTGGCTGTGTGGATTGGTGGTGGTGAAGTGGTTCGGGTCTTTTTCAGACATGGTAGCCGTCAACTCACTCTCTTGACCCTAATTACAAGCAAGCGTGCAGGTATTGCACTTGTCTGCCTTCTCGTCGCGGTACAGTCGTGAACTCATGTTCTGTGCAGTCAAAATCCAGTATAGTCGTCATGGTAAAACTCAATTTGCGCAGGCAAGATATAAAGAACTGCTTGGGGATAGTTGCCAAAACACCATGCAATGATGTGCAGACGGGATCAAACTAATCTTTGAATCCAGTCATTGGCTCAGTGAGGGACCAGTCCATTTGGGCCTCGAATGATGCGCCCCACACAGGGACCGCTCAGTGAAAATCTCATCTGCAAGGCTCTCCAACTCCTCATCGTCTGCTTATTGCATCGGCCTCATATTTCCAGCACAGGCAGACTAAGCAAGACTCAGAAAAAAAATGACGAGCTACGATCGCGACGTCGTCGTCAACTGCCTCAAGCGGCACTACGAGCTGCTGGTGCGCATGGGCTACATGGACGTTTCAGCCGTTGAACTCCCTCCCGCCGCCGGCTGGAGCGACACGGAGCTCCGCGTGGATGCACTCCGGGCCATGGGCCGCTCCGAGACCGTCATTGATCTTCTGCGGCACATCCCCTTCGTTCACGAGAATGAAGAGTCGGACCCCGTCGAGATTTACACCGAGACGTTCCCGCTACGGTACTTGCGCGACGGGCGGTGGTTCGGCGGCGCCAATGGTATTCACGGCGACGGCGCCGAAGTGTTTGCCAACACGGCGCTTTTGGACCTCGGGTTTGCGCCATTTGATGGGCCCGTGCCGGCCGATATGGTCTCGTTGACGCATGCGGATGAGGGAATCTGGTGGTTGATTGATACGAATCAAGGTTAGCCGGACTACCTATGCGCAAAGCTGTATTGGTTCAAAGTGCGTGCCCTGCGAAGCTGACGCATAGGCCATCGCAGGATGCATCTACCCTTACGGGACCGAGTTCGACAAGCGCGAGGAGGACGTTCCCGCGGACAAGCAGTGGCTTGTTGTGGACCCGGTTCCCATCCAGGCTTACTTTGACAAGATCTATGCCCAGGTCGGCAACCTGGATGTTGTGCCAGCGCCCCGCTCTGGGAAGTGGGAGGCGAGAGTTGTCGAGGAGTACACCGAGGAAGGCCAGGTGAGTTCATCAGCAACCGCAAACCCAGACTGTTGACTGATCAAGACAATTTCTCGTGGCGTACAGGAGATAAAACGGCTGTACGTTGAACACGGATGGCCCAATGCTTTTCGTAGGGAGGAGTTTATTCAAGCCGTTGAGAGAACTCGGGCGGCGTTTATCGAGGCTGGGCTGGGACATGATGATGATGACGAGGATGAAGAGATGACGGGCTAGATAGGCCATTGACTTTTGGTACTGACCTTAGCTTGGAACACGGAATGACGAATTGGCCAATGATAGAAACCAATTGATGATTTTAGCGCACAACCATACTGATGGGTTTCGTTCCTGAGCCCAAATCAGATCCCAACGATCAAAAGCGGGCGAGGCGTCTCTGAGCCAAGGAACAGTGATGATAGATATCGGATCGCGGAAGATGGGATCGGATGACGGAAGTTTCTGACATTGAGACTTTGTTATCATGTCCTGACTTCTATCTCGTCTCACAAGCACAGCCATCTTCAACCCCACAAACTCAAGCCGGAGCTCCCCATCCGCACCGTTGACCAGTGTCTTGGACGGGGAGGTTGGGCCCATCAATCAAGGATAACGTTGCGGGGCCCCTCGGTGAATGTTTCCTTGGTTGAGTTAGTCATTTACGCTTCTCATCGCATTCAACCACTTTCAACTGGTTGCTCACACTCAATTCACTCAGAAAACCCCAGGGTTCCCGGACCCCAGATGTGCAAGCCGACGATATCGGAACGACCCCGACGTATTTTCCCCTTGTTGAATGACATCGATCTGCGCCATTCTAGCGTGCTCGTTGCCCCAGTCGCTCGGGACTTCTCCGCTCTGCGGGCTCTGCGGGTACATGAGTCAAGGATTCTACTTCTGTTAGACCTCTCATCTTCACTGATCAATGCTTCGAATGGGTTAACGCTGTCTCCGTTGAGCGGCGAGAGGTTGCTTTCTGAGCGGGTCGCCGGGAAATTGTCTACTTGATAGCAACGAGAGAGGAGAGGAGGGGCAAAACGACGACGAGGGTATTCAAAAATGCGTTTAAAGCGCCGCGATGGCCGGCCCTGCCTTTCAGCGGTGGTGTGCTCTCTTGTTACCATTTTTCCTTGCGGTCAACCAGCAGCAGCAGCAGCAGCACTGGTCGGAGACGAGGGATCAAGCACGTCACTAAACATGAAGTTCTCAACGTCCTTCAACACGCTCTTTGCGGCATCGCAAGTCGCCATCTCGCCCGCCACCGCGTACAACCCGGTCGAACTCAAGGGATACGGCAAGTTCACCGGTACCGTCGTTAACTCGACCTACAGCGGCCGGGCTCTTCCCGCCCCCGTGGACGCCTGGCTCGGTATCGACTACTCGACGCAGCCGGTTGGCGAGGGCCGTTTTAACCCCGTCACCTGGCCCGCGTCCTTCAACGGCACCAAGGCAGCGACAAAGTACGGCAAGACCTGCGTCCAGGACTCGACCTCGACCGATGTCAGCACCCAGGATGAGGCCTGCCTCAACTTCAATGTCTACCGCACGCGCGGCATCCCGCTCGACCAAAAAACACCCGTTCTGGTCTGGATCCACGGTGGCGCGTTCTATGCGGGCAGCTACAAGAGCTTCGACGGCGCTGCGTTCGCCGCATCATCAAAGGAGCCCATCACGGTCGTCAACTTCCACTACCGCATCAACTCATTGGGTTTCCTGCCGTCTGCTCTCTTCGACGAGGAGGGTCTGCTGAACCTTGGTATGCGCGACCAGCACTTCTTCCTCCAGTTCGTGCAGAAGCACATCGCCGCGTTCGGTGGCGACCCTGACGCCGTCACCATCGGCGGGCGCTCTGCTGGTGGGCACTCCGTCGGTATCCTCTACTTCCACAATTACAATGAGGACGAGAACAAGCCTCTGTTCACCAGGGCGATCCACCAGTCCGGTGCCGTCACCGCCCGCGCGTTCCCCAATGCGACGTATCCGCTCTACGTGAAGCAGTACGAGGAGTATATGAACTACCTCTCCTGCCCGCTCGATGCCGATAACGCCGCGACCTTGGCCTGCCTTCGTGCTGCGGACATCGATGCGATCCGCAACATCAGCACCAAGCTCTACAACGACTACGACCCGGCTCTGACTTGGCCCTTCCAGCCCACGCAGGGTGGACCGTTGCTGGAGAAGTTTGGCTCGCAGTCAGGTTACGACGGCACATTCTTCAAGGTGCCTGTCATCACCTCTAACGTAAACGACGAGGCCAAGTACTACATGGCTGGCGACAAGGAGACAAACCAGGAGTTCCTCGACTACCTCCACAACATCTCCCCTGCCCTCAACAGCACCGACCTCCAGCTTCTCGAGGACCTCTACCCGGACCCCGCCACTCATCCGCATTCCCCCTTTGCCAACTCCCCCAACAGCACCCAGTACAATCGCCTCTCGGCCGCGTGGAGCGATTATGCATACATCTGTGCCGGCCAGGAGACAGCGTACCGCGCCTCGATCGCGGGTGTGCCGACGTGGAAGTTACACTTCAACACCAACAACTCGTGGCCTGCATGGAGGGGCATCCCGCATACCGCCGACACGAAGTACACTTGGGACGAGCCGGTAGTGCAGTACCCCGAGGTCAGCCACATTTACCACGGATACCTATCCAGCTTCGTCCTGTCCGGTGACCCCAACACTTTCAGGTATCCTGGCAGCCCCGAGTGGCCTCAGTACAAGCCTACTGGTTACGGACTCGAGTCGGAGCCTGCGTTGCAGCTTATCGTCCAGCCTAACAACGGAACCAAGGTTGAGAAGGATGATATTCGCAGAGAGGCGTGTCTTTACTGGAGAGATCCTGAAAGGGCTCCTCGTCTGAATAAATAAATACGACGAAATGAAATTTGAAATAATGTACATAATTAGTTACCGTGCCATACAGCCGACGCGGATAGAAATACTGAGCATACTACTTAAATACTGGATATCTGCTCTGAGGAAAGAATCAGTCTTCGGATAGCATGTCTTAAGACGATATCCTTCATTAATCACATACCTTACCCCGCCGTAACTCTACATGTGGATGTTTCTACAAGTACTATAGGCTCTCCGTCACTGCCAGCTATTGGCTGTCGATGATTACCTACCACCCAGCGATTGGAGCATATCTTCCACGTTGCTGCGCGTCTGTGGCTGTGTGGAGGCCACGAACAAGACTCAATGGCACATTGGTGCCGTTCGTCGAGATTTCAGGCTGCAGTCTCGTTGATATATGGAGACCCGCGATTGCTAGTCGTTGTCTCCTGAAGCAGCTGAACCTGGCTGGCTCATACTTCTCTAGTGCTTTCGTCTTGCACGCTTCGAATAAAGCCGGAATACTGTAGAACGGCTGCAGCCGCTACGTCGAAGACACGAACGTTATACAAAGGAGCCAAAGTCCCATATTCCAACAACAAAGTCGGAATGTTAGCTGCTCTCTCTGACAATCAGGCTGGGACCTCTGACCAGGGCGGTACCCATGCGCGGAGCTCAGCTCTCCCGCTACGTCCGCGGATTACTTTAGGAGAGCCAAATCCAGAGGAGTTCGACAGATCGAGCAGGTTCACGAAAGACGAAGAAGACTGGACAAAGATTTCGGATCTGGCAGAGCGCCGAAGAATACAAAATCGAGTAGCTCAAAGGAACTACAGTAAGTACATGTAGATCAGAAGAGTTAGTCAGCCATTAGACAACACGCCATGCATTAACAAACATGCAGGAAAGAAGCTGAAGAGAAGGCTTGAAGATTTGCAAAGGAGAGCATGTGATGAAGGGCAACTTACTCCGGCAGAGACACCCTCATCCGGCAAGTACGAGAACGAGTTCCTATCAAACTCCAGTCCATTCTCAGACGCAGTATACATGTACTCTTCCCCTCACCAAACACCCAAATCTTACAACATCTGCCCACTACGGTATGCCGACCAGGATCTTTCCTTCTCACCGATCGCCGATGAAAGTGACGATAAGAGCTCATCACTTTCTGAACCCTCAGAAAAAGCGCCTATCTATGCTTTGTCGTCAGGCCATCGATTTCGATCGATTAAAAATCTGCTAGTAGACAACTGTATTAGTAGCTTCTCGGAATGGCAAACCTGTCCCCAGAGTTCGAATAAGCTAACAGCAAATCCTCCGCCAACACAAAATCAGCAACCAAGCAAGAGGTCCAGGAAATACGAGAAGTCGAACGAAAAGAACGAAATTGAGAGTAATGGAGGAAATGAGAAGGATGAAGACTCTAAAGTAAAGATTGTGGGCGGCTCGACAGTGACTCCATCCAACAAGAACAGAAGTATCATTCTTGCTTGCCCCTTTTACAAGGAGGATCCTTTGAAGCACCTTCAGTGCCTCAGAATCGAACTCAAAAGAATCAAAGACGTCAAACAGCACCTCAATCGAAAACATCGTCAACCGTCGTATTACTGTCCAACATGCTGGATGATCTTCGACCAGCCAACGGACCGAGACATCCACATTTCCCAACGCGGTTGCTCTCTACAAGATCAGGTCAACTACGAGGGTATCTCCGAAGATCAAAGCCGACAGCTCACTCGGAAAGTAGACAGACGACTAGCCGAGGAACAACAATGGTTCAGTGTGTGGGACATTGTGTTCCCTGACGTACCACGTCCAGCGTCAGCATATCTGGGAAACCAGGTCGAGGAGTCTATGGTTATGATTCACGACTTCTGGGATGCGAACGGAAAGGCTCTGGTCTCACATGCTCTATGGGAGCGAGGGCTGATACCAGAGCCAAACGTTTCAGACGACGAAGGGGAGCTTGAGAGCTTCCTGGCCGAGACATTGGAATCTGTAGTGGAAGAGCTGCTGGCGTCTTGCCGCGCGCAGATCGCAGCGAGTCTGTCTCGGTCGAATCATAATCGTCACGAGGCGTCATCAGCTCCGGAGGGGACCCCAACTTCAGAGTCGGGTACTAACACTCAAAGCCATGACGCGGGTGAGCAGGACCAACAAACAGTCGATCTTGTCCATGTAGGCGAAAGTGCCTTGGCATATGGAAAGCCTGTGGCACAAGAGTCTGTCGATGATTGCAACTTTCTCACTGGCCTTGAGATGATTGGGCCCTCAGCAGGCCATGATACCCAATCCTTCCTCGAGGGGTCACAATTCAGCATGTCGCGCAGCTGGCCCACGAGGGAAGAGGGCATTGCGGAGCTTGATGACCAGAGTTGGGAACTATTAGCCGATGTGACCGACTTCTTGCAAGCTGAGAGACCATAGTGTCAAAGTCTTGCTGGACTGTTTTTACTTTTGATTGCTTTCTGAGAGGGAATGTACGAGTTAAATGGGCATATATATAACACGCCTAGGTGCGACCTACCTGGAGTTTGGACAAACGGAGAAGGCCGCTGCTGTCATGTTCAGCTTGTGTCCTCGGTTTCTCATATGACAAGATCAGCTTGAAACCTTACCAAGTGACTACGTCACTGAAGTACTATGTCTGCTACGAAGACAGAGCCTTCATGTTAGCTGTGAGACAGTGATACCCTGGAGACACTAGGTTCTTCCCCTTGGCCTTGTAGGATTAGTTTAGCCCCTTTTTTCGAAGCTCTTATTGTATGAATCTCAGTTCTAGTACTGAATCTGACGCTACGTTTCTGCTAGGCCGCACTTCTTTGAACTATTTCCTGCTCCGATGTACAAATAACTAGAGATGATATAATGCCGATTGTAATTTCACATTTCGACGTATGTACTTGCTTGATACTTACCAATCAAACAGGTAAACTGCAAGAACTTCTCTGTGAACTGAAGTGAACTTTCTTTTGTGACTGACTACACTGTTTACTTTGGCCATATTACATGGGCATCTAACAGATTGTTTTCTGAGATATTCCAGCTGGAAGATGACGCTTAACGCATGATCGTCCGATACTGAGTAAGCAATGGGGTACTCTGTGAATTCCACCTGGCCAATTACCAGCCTCTCCGATACATCCCGAGAGTTGATGTCGTCTATAAACAGGTAAGGTGTGGGGTGAAAACCCGTGTATCATATTCCTAATCACTCAAAATGGCAGTATCCATTGACCCCTTGTAATACGTGTAGCATGGTTGTCTGAATCAGTTTTCTGTCCCTCGTATCTTCAGCTAATGAAATGAGAGGAGCGAGACCATTGTGTTTTGAACCCACATCATGTCAGAGTTCACGTAGCATTGAACATACGCTTACGTTAGATCTTCGACTTGGCGTAGTGGTTGAGCGAAGATCGCTAGTAGTGTCTCGTCAGCTCAATGACGAGCCTTTGACAGGGGTTCATTGAAGGAAGCTATGCAGGACCTTTTGGAATCATCCTCCGAACATTCGAAGTAACCTGGTTATTCTCTATAAGTTGTCTGATCCCGACGAACGATGCTCAAGCTTTAAAATCGTCTAGTCCGAAATCGCATTGTCTCGTCCTAAGAGTGAGCAATCTACGGCAAAAAAGAAAATAAAAAATTTACTTCAATGACACTGCTGCCTAGGTAGATGTGTCTTTTGTTGAGCCCTCTTGTCTTTCTCGAGAGCACCACATTTCCTCTACCAAGCGCTTTTTCTTTTCCTGATACTTCTGACCATGGCTAAGTTGCATCACTCGTCGCCCACCCCAATTTTCGAAAGTAATCGCGGCGTACCCGAGGTATGAAGAAAAAGCGAAACATGGCGGGATATCCTCAGAGTAGCGCGCTAGTTTCATATTCATTTTGCCAGCAGGGTAACTTGAATGGAAGACCTACTGCGTTGATGCTGGACATTGGAGGAGTTTTCTGCAACTTCTCCGCCGTTCCAGACGCTCCAATTCCAACAAAGGTGTTCAAGCGCGTTCTCGAATCATCCGAATGGCACAGCTTGGAGGCCGGTAAGGCGACGCAATCAGAGGTGTTCAGGGCCTTGACGGAGAGGTTCGCCCTTGCGGAGGGTGCCTTACAACATACCATCCAGCTGGCATCGTCGACCTTGACACTCAACGAAGACTTTGTTGCAGTTGTCAGGAATCTCAAGAAGAACTCCGACGGCCAACTCCGCGTGATTGCTGCGACCAATATGTCTACCGAAAGCTATGACATAGTTCGCTCTAAGGTTGGGGGCTGGGACATCTTCGATGATGTCTACACGTCAGCCAGCCTGGGTGTACGAAAGCCGGAGCAAGGCTTTTTTGATCAAGCTCTCAAAGCTGCGGGCTTGGATGCGAAATCAACTGTGTTTGTTGACGATCGACCGGAGAGTGTCATCTGCGCCCAATGTCGCGGGATGCAAGGAGTCTTGTTTGACAACACGGAAAGGGTGGTCCAGAAGCTGAACAACTTCTTCGGTGACCCCGTTGAGCGTGGTCAATCATGGCTCCGAGCTCACGCAAAGGACATGTGGTGTGTGACCAACACTGGCATTGAGATTCGGGAGCAGTTTCAGCAGCTTCTTTTGTTGCATTGGACGAACGACTGGTGCGGCGTCACCCCAGACAATGTATTCGCCTGAGATACTAACAACGTTTCGTAGGGGACTTGTCGATATCGCCCAACTGGATTCCCCTTCAGGTCGATGGAATTGCTTTTCCTACGGGCCTCCGGTGCTGACAACGGAAGTCTTTCCCGAGGACCTCGACACTACCTCTATCGCTCTGCTCACGCTTGATATTGATGACAGTGTCAAGCAGAAGACTATGGATGATATTCTCCAATATCTGAATCCAGATGGCTTAGCATATGTAGGTTGCCCCCCCTTGGATGTACCCTTGAATCCAACTAAGACAAGGTTCTCTTCAGTGTTACTTCGACTCAGGCAGGCCGAGGCTTGATCCTTTTATCTCAGCTAATGTGCTGCGAGTTTTTTACGCCAGCGGACGAGGCAATCAACTCCAGCCCGCACGCCACTTCATGGAGGACATGCTCCGTACGGGCGCATTTGAGCATGGAACTCGTTACTATCACTTGCCGGACTTCCTGCTCTACTATCTTAGTGAACTGTGCTCCAAGAATCCTGATGCCGATGAGCTTGACATTTTGCGCGATCTACTCCGTCAGCGGTTGAAGGAGCGCATAGGATCTACAAATGATGCGTCAAGTGTCGGGCTCCGTCTACTTGCTTCGAACAACATGCGCCTCACTAACACATCGGATAGAAGTCTCTTACTGGACTTGCAGAGAAGTGATGGCAGCTGGATGGGATACTTGTATCGTTATGGGTTTTCTGGCATCCTAATTGGAAGCGAAGGGGCCATTACTGCTTTGGCAGTAAAAGCTTTGCAGAGCGCGCAACGCGATCTGCACTGATGCGAGGAGGATACACCAGGGCGAAATCCCCTTCCAGCATATTCATGATTCCACTTTCTGTTTACCAATTGAAGAGCTTTTCGCATACGTGCAAGAAAAATAGATGGTGTAGATGATGGAGGTTCTTGGAATGGGCAAGGGGGGCACATGTTTCCTGGATTTCTCTGAGCGGCCAGCGATGGAGGAGTCCCAGTCATTTGACCGGTCATAGATGGAAGATGAAGCATACATATACGTCTCAAGGGCCAACTAAAGGGAAGATTGCTCGCTAAGACATCGTGATTTTTACACGTATTATACTTTTGTTGTATGACAATGAAATGCTTTCACAGTTGTGTGGCAATGCTCCTACTCCGTTAGATGCTTTTATCCGCGTGACTGTCGCTTTTTCCATTCCTTGAACTCCTTGGGTATCATAATATTTAGGTCTTTCCTGTCAAACGTACCACGCAACATCCTGGTCCTGCTCCCTCACTGTACTACTAGAATCTTGGCGACTAGTCTTTGACTGCGGCGTCATATCCAGCCCAGGTTTACCATTCGGTTCGGTGATGTGACGAGAGAGCGAACGAGGGCGTGGCGTGGTTTCTGGTTCTGTGGCCCTTCCTGAGAACGTGTTGGCCTGTAAACCTAGCTCGAGTTCTGGCCCTGTGGTGTTTCTTTTGGGCTGCACATTCTCTGAGCTCAACATCCACCTCCCAGCTACGTAGGGCATCGAGAATCTTCTGGACCTCGATTTCGACAATGAGTTCTTGTTCGCGTCTGGCGCTCCTTCATTGCTGTCTCTCCTTGTTTCGGCGTGAGGGCGCATGGGGTTCGAGGCCTTGACGACCTTTGCAATCAGATCTGCCATGCCCATTTCGATGTGTAGTTTGAGTAGATAGGCCAACGGGTGGAACTGGGCATAGCTGTGATAATTAGCGATGACACCAGTCCGTTCGAGTAAGGATCACATACATCAGAGTGTTCGGGAGGGACATAAGTCCGATGAGTATGACCTGGAGTGTGGATGATGAGACGCGAGATCAAATACAGTTGGAAAGCAGTCAAACCTACATCCAGCGACATTGAGACTGCAATCATGGCCAAATTAAATCTGAACAAGGCCGTATACTTGGTCAAACCGCTGGCAATGAGTCGCGATTTGACCAAATAGATGAAGGTGAGGTTGAGGCCAGCGTCCACAAGAAGAAAGATGCCCTTTTCTATCCTGTCCCATATCTCGTTGATGTGGATATAGGTCTCGTTGATCTGAAGACGAGCTGGAATCCAGACACAGAAGACGCTGATATTGACCGCCAAAAGGATGCCAAAGACTCCCCATTTCAGACGTGTGGCTTGTGCGGGTATCGGCATCAAAATTGCGATTCGGTTGACGATGATTTGCATTAGACATTGAACCTGACGAAACACTGATCAGCTGATGTCCGTAATGAAGGATGGCCAAGAACCTGCTGGAAAGTTACCTGAATAGTCCACAATACAACTTCAATCGATTGCCGTCAGTATGTAAAGCGGTATGCGAATTGAAGTTCTGCGGTACTTACGTAGGAAGAAGAAGTACTCAAAGCTACTCAATATTAGATGCTGAAATTACCGAGAGGGGGGGGGGGGGAGGAGCCTACCTTGGATCAATGATGGACGTCAGATAGCACCAGGATATGATGCCGATGACTATACTGGCGATCCATTCTGCCCAGATCAGCCATATGTAGATGTTGACCCTGTGTGTCCTATTCCAACTGGCTCTGCTTTGTCGATAGCCCTTGACTCCGCTCCATAGACCGACCCCAAGCGTGAAACCCCAAAACATACTCGCTATGTTCTGTTCATCATTTGTTGGTGTCGAGCCGACAAACCACGGGGGTATAAGTGTTCCCGCCATCGTAGAGCTATGTCTCGTTTTTCATCGGACGTAGGCGGTCTCGGTGGATTCTCTGGTGTTGCTGTTCCACCTTCATCCCCGGCGGTAGGGGTGAGGTCGAGAGGTGGAGGAGAAAATTGACAAGCTTTTTGACGAAATGTTGGGGCAGGGCAGCCAATATGAGGAACGTGACCCATTGACCGCTGCTCTCGTCGGAACTTCACCAACCGCACTAGTCGCGATGGCGGAAGTATGGCGGGCAAGTAGGAAGCTAAGGCATGCAACGGTGAGCGGCAGCACGGGGGAAGGGTTATTTTGAAGGCTGGGTGGAGGGCAGCGCAACACAAGCGCTTGGGATAGCCAACATATTCTAACCCCGACTCGGGAACGTCAGACGCTGGGGCCCAAATTCTTGACCTTTGGACCCTGCAGGCGTCAACTTGTCCAGTGCTTTACTTCCCCATCCGTTGGACCCGGTTTGACAGACCAGAGTTCGTCGTAGATTTGCCTGTTTGCGCAGGGGGTCGGCATTTGAAAGCTCACTGCAGCAGAGATGCTTCCTCTGGCCGGGCAGCCGGTTGCCGGCTCCCACTCTGGGGGTTTGCCACGCCGTCGCGAGTTTGAGGGTGGTAGCGATGATCTCCGGACAGTCACACCAGGGCCCCCTGGACCGCATATGGAGACTACCATAGAGAACAAGGCACGGTCTGGATATTGGTAATGGCGTGGAGGCAAAGACCGTGGCCTGTCTGACGGTGCGATGATCGGACTAGAAGCCGGGACAACCGGTCTCCAGCTAGTCCTTGACTTCAACGCACCCGCGGCTACTAGCATGCAACTAGCAACGGCATTTACCGTAGCCGCGAATGATTCCAACTATAGCTTCGCCTAATGCTTGGGAGCGGTGTGATCCCGTTCTGTGCTCTTCCTTCGTACATCTAACATGGCCGGCCCGAAAACGCAGACATTTGGATTCAACTCTTTTCAGGTAATGGGACCCCTCACTCACCCACACAAAATAGACTTTTAGTCCGCAGGAACGTGCGTCACTCCAATCGAGATCAGCACGAGGGTGCAGAAGTTTCGGTACTAAATGCGAGTCAGGGTTTTGCATTGTCGTCATTAGTGGCAGGCAATGGGGCCTGAAAAAGAGTTCGTTCCAAAGCGTCCGTCCGGCAACGCTGCGTTTCTCAGCGGGAGAGAGACCGAGACCGCGCTTCAACGGCTGGTGGGGGATCATCCGGCCAAGCTTCATTGTTTGTTTCGCATTGTCTTATTTGTTTGATGGTCTGGTCTTTAGAACATAGACTCCAGAACATTACTCCAGGCATAATCAGGTCTCTGTGTGAACGAAGATTTCCATGACTCAAACCGACTCTTGAGCAGCTGTGATGACTTCAGAACGTCATATTTTGCGGAGAGTTGGAGATATCTCCACGCGTAGATCTACAGCAGAGAGACAACTGTTCTTGGCTCTTAAGGAAAGATAGGCGTTTAGATGGAGTGCCTGATCACGTTCCGAGGATCGGCCTGTGATGAAACTATCCATCCTATCTTAGCTGGTCCGTCAGCATGGCAGATGTTGCACAGAACGGCTTCTTTGAGGGGAAAACCTGGAGTTCAGTGGTGCGAACAGGCTTGGGCGTTTTTGCGTCTGTCATCAATCTCCCATCACCAACATTACAGCCCACAGCTCACAAGTACTACTGGTCAACGTGGGCTCGAAAAGGGTTGTTAGGCCTGGACCCCTTGCCCCTCCCCCTTCTACCCCAGCACTTTCCAGAGCCCCAATGGCGACCTGGGCTATGGAGCTAAAGAGCTAGATTATTGGCTTCTGATTGGCTAGCATCTCACCTTGTGTACCCGTTGATTCGGCTCGATCCGCACTCGAGACAACGTTCTCGTCGATTCTTTGTCTACGGCTTCCTTTTAGTGTGCGGTGCCTCAAGTTTCCTATGGCGACGTGAAAGGGACGTGATCACATCCTTGTGTACCTCAATCTTTTAAAGCACCAAGGGCTGTTCTCAGGCGGCTTCGGCACCCTCGACCTTCCGGAATGGGCCTAGAATCCACAATCAACATGAAGAAATCAGGCTGCTTTCATTCGTTCGGGGACGTGGACTCTCGCTCCGATGCTTGGCGGTTCGGAAAACGTTGAACCAACGAGAAAAAGAAAATGCAAATGAGGGGTCGTTTTTATTTCGTCCTTCCAACGTCAATAGCTTGTGTGATCTGTCGTCAACACCAGGCATCACAACCTCTTCTCAGGCTTTCATTCTCCAATTTCCAATCTGTCTGAGCCATCGAGGAAACCCAAATCATGGCTGCATCTCCACAGAGCGCGACGGCCTCTAGTCCGCTCGCTGTGGGTAGTTCCGAGCCCACCGCAACCGCGATTCCTGTTGTAGGTTACGAAGTGGTGTTCTCATATCACTTTGGCAACTGCTGGCTAATAGTCACTGCTCTATCAAAGGACCCAGTCGTCGAGGATGAGGAAACAACAGATGCGGAGATCGAGAGGTGAGCTTGAAATATGAGAGGAACCAGGTTCCATTTACTAATCGACTCGACATCCAGTATTCACACTTCTTCCACTGCGTCCTTGAGTGAAAGCATTACCGAGTATCGCCGGATTCATGGACGCACTTACACCCAAAAGACCGATTATTGGGGACCGAACGACGAAAGACAAAATGAGGGGCTCGACATTGCGTACATGATTGACCCCCAAGTTTTACTTTGCCACACCCAGCACTAAACTGATGTATCACGCAGCCACTACTGGGAGACTCTTCTTCTAGGTCACAAATTATATCTTGCGCCTCTTGGTAACGGTCCATCGGTAAGCAGTAGTCTCACCAATGACACTGAACTACAGAATAACGTTTCTGATATCGTTCCAGAATGTTCTTGATGTCGGCACAGGAACCGGCATTTGGGCGATGTATGTGCTAGCCGATGAACTTCAATCCCGAGCTCAAGAGTGTTAATAGCGATACGCAGAGACTTTGCAGACGAGTATCCTTCTGCTGAGGTTATCGGTGTTGACATTTCGCCCATTCAGCCAGGATGGGTTCCGCCCAATTGCAAGTTTCAAATCGATGATATTGAGGAGTCGTGGACATGGTCCATTGACCATTTTGACTTTGTTCACATAAAACACCTCGAGGGAAGCGTAGCAGATTGGCCGAAGCTCTACACCCAATCGTATGCCCACATGAAGGCAGGAGGTTACATCGAGGTCAAGGAGATAGACGTTGAGCTATGCTCTCAGGTGTTCGTTGACTTAGACGATGACCACGTCTACAAAAGGTGGGGCAAGATCATGCTAGAGGCCATGGACCGATTGGGAAAGACGGGAACTCAGAGCCGCAATCATGGTATCGCCAGAGGTCTTGAGGCGGCCGGATTCGTCGACATCGTCGAACAGCAATGGGCGGCACCTGTTGGAGCTTGGCCGAGGGATCCCACTCTCAAGGAAGTGGGCGCGTGTCACCTCCAATACCTCGATCAATCGCTCGAGGGCTTTGGTACCTTTCTACTCAAAGAAGTGATGGGTTGGGAATATGCGGAGATCATGGTATTCATGAGCGAAATGCGAAAGGCAATCAGAGACCTGAAGCTCCAATCTTACATCAAGCTGTACGTTGCGTTTTCTTTTCCTCTCGTTTCTTTAGAACCAGCTTTCACTTCGTATCAGCCATGGAATTACAGCTGACCTCAATTAATAATCACCAGTCATGTTGTTTATGCAAAGAAACCCGAGAAGGCTGTTGAAGGCGAAGAGTGAGCAGTTTTAGATATCGCCCTCTCAGAAGGCAATCGTCAGGAGGCAACGGTTGAAGTTCAGCTAGACAATACATAGTTATTCAAATCATTGCTGTACAGGCTTATGACAGTTCAATGTCTTCATTGCCCTCGGTACAGTCGCTCTCTCGTGGGCTGTAGAGTAAAGATGTTGCCGGATGAGTACTACGGGCACTCTTCCTGCGGGTTGTTGCTTACAGTTTGTGTATGCAAGTTAGTTTGAGCGAGGCGAGTAAATTATCTATTTGGCTAGCCTTCCATGTCTGAGATGAGCTGTGAAATAAAAGACCTGAAGACCTTCTAATTATAAGACATGAGGTGAAGCCGGGGGCCATGAGAGCTACGAAAATGGCGAAGGCTCTCATTCAAGTCGGCACGCGAAACAAGGAGTCAATGTGCCTGATGTACTTCACCCCGTCTTGAGTCACACAGCCAAGACCCGCCGTAGTTGGGTATTTTTGATGAGCGGACTTCAGTAAAATGACCATGATCTTGATAATTTTGCGAGAGCAATATTGAGTAATGATTTTTTGACATCGACAAGAACTTGCGTAGACTTCCAGCCACTTCTTGAAGTCGAGTTCCGCCTGTCATGTACTTTTCGTTTGACTTGGATCCGTCACGTGTGATTGCCTGGATTCTCCTTCACTTGAATCTAGACTTGCGGCCCGCGCAGGTCAATTCAAACATGTGGAAGGGCCGTTATGTGCTCAATATGCAGTCTGTGATGTGCTGGTGGTGATTCACCGAGGTCTGTCAGAGAAATTTCACGGAATCAATGGCATATTTAGCCTGATTATTCGCGAATATCTATTGACTAGAGTACCAATCCTTTCAGGGATAATCAAGCGCCACTGACAAGCAAGTGCTGGTTCTTATTGGAGCTCTGGAATAAATACCAATATTCGGTCATTCAGGTGAATTCGGTGCATGTCTTCAGTGTACGTTGAGGCTGGACAGTGCAGTGTTAAATACTATCAACTCTTTCGAATTACTTCCAGTGCCACACTAGAACGAAATCCATCCGAATTGATTGAATCCTCATCGTTGTACCGCCAACGCGTCAGAGACCTTCCATAAGAGGCCTAGAATCTGCATTAAAAATTGAGAACATCACATTCCTATTCGCTCGGGGAAGCGGACTCTCGCTTCGACCCTTGGCGACTCAATCCCTGGTTTGCAGAAGCGGGCAGCGTGTTGGATAGAACCAACAGAGAAACCAGTGCATTGCAAAAGAGGGGTCAGTTGGCCCATACAAATACCGGTGATCCAAACCGCGACAAAATCTTTCTCTGACTTCCATGACTCATCTACCTGGTTGTTAAATCGCTTACAAGTCAAAGATCTTTAAAGTTATTCAACATGGTCTCGCCTTCGGATGCAACAGCCGGAGCAGCGGCTCCATCGTCGAAGAGCCCATCTCTAAGGGCAGCTGGTTCGACAAGCTCATCCCCAAGGGGCACCAACGAGCCTGACTCAGGTACCATAGCTGCTGTGAGTCTTCGAGTGCCCAAATATGTCATCATTGGATGGTCTCAAGGGGGTAGAGAATGAGGAATGCGCTGACCTGGTCTTACTTAAGGATCCTGTCTTCGAAAACGAGGACTTGACTGAAGCTGAGACGGAAAGGTAAGTCGAAAAAATATCTGCCAGGTAGTCTACTAGATTCAGTGGTTGAACCTTGGATTGCTACAGTATTCGTACCGCCTCAACTGCTTCAATCAGCGAGAGTATCACGGAATATCGTCGCATTCTAGGGCGCACGTACACGCAGAAAACCGACTATTGGGGGCCAAATGATGAGAAGCAGAATGAAGGGCTCGACCTTGCGTAAGTGCCACCAACAGGCTACAACACGCTGCACTCCAAGACCGTCTTTCCGAGGCGATGATAGTTTTTAATCTCGCACGTATCTAACATTAATGCGAAAGACACTATCTAGAGCTATTGTTTTTCGACGATAAGCTTTTCTTAGCACCCATCGGTAAGACTCCTCATGTAAGTTTCTGCGATTATTACGTGTATTTCTGCCGCCGATTTCTGATGAATTCGTCTGGCAGAGAGTCCTAGATATTGGAACCGGCACTGGAATCTGGGCGATGTAAGTTGCACGACGCGTTTCAGCTATTATGACTTACATCGGGCGTGGGGCGTTGATCAAAGGGAATGACTGACTGGTCGACTGCAGTGATTTTGCGGATGAGTTTCCTTCAGCCGACGTGATTGGAGTTGACATATCACCTATCCAACCTGGTTGGGTTCCTCCAAACTGCAAATTTCAGATCGACGACATCGAGGAGCCATGGACCTGGCCTCGTGAACACTTCAATTACGTCCATATCCGCCACATGGAGGCGGCTGTTTCTGACTGGCCAAGGTTGTACAAGCAATCATTCGATCATCTCGTACCTGGCGGTTACATTGAAGTAAACGAATGGGACATTGAAGATCACTCTCAAGCTCTGGGAGATGATCTGCCCCAAGATCACATTTATAGGAGGTGGGCGAAGACTATCTTCGAGGCCACTGATAGACTAGGCAAGACCGCAAAGCAGACCAGAAACCAAGGCATCGCAAACGCCCTGCGGGATGCTGGCTTCGTTGATATCGTGGAAAAGAGCTGGCCTTTCCCAATCGGAGGCTGGGCATCTGATCCTAAGTTGAAAGAATGTGGCGCCGTTAATCTGGAGTATCTCGACCAATCACTTGAAGGATTCGGGCTCTTCTTGCTTCGACAGATCATGGGATGGGAAGATGCAGAAATTCTTGTGTTCATCAGCGAAATGCGGAAGGCTTTGAGGGATCTTAAGCTGCAGACGTATTTAAGACTGTAAGTTGAATCTTTCTTTCCAGTAGGCTCTGACTGACACTAGTTCACTAGACACGTGGTCTATGGACGGAAGCCTGAAGAGGCAGAGGTCTCTGGGGAGCAAGCCGTTGACGCACCTCTACCTTAAGTCAGGGGGTGGTTGGCTTGTATCGGAGTGATTCGGTAGTGCTGTTATAAACTCAAGCTCTCTTCAAGGTTTGAGCATTTATCAACCGCGAAGTTCTAGAGCAGGTAGAATGATTTGAAAAACCAAAGATGGACAAGTTAATGGTGGTTTCCATATGTGTCCAAACCGGCCGTGAGTCTGTTCCTGCGGAGTTTGACGCTGAATTCAATCACCTTCATGAAAAGAAGAAATCTTGTCTCTTAGTGAAGTGAGTTGTAGATTTGACTGATTCCATGGTCGGATTGATGTCTGGTGCCTGCTGTGGCCATGGGTGCATGCTCGAAGCAAACAACACGGAGAAGATAAGCGCCGATGATGGCGAATCAAAAGCTTGAAAACGAGACGCGCAAATTGGTGCCCCCAAACTGACGCATTCGGAGAGACCAAACCAACAAAGACCACACTTCGCGTTGGTTCTAACCGACCGAGCCCACCGCCAACAAGGAAGGCAGGCTGGAAAGTGGAGAAATCCTACAAAACCAAGAGTGCGGCACAATTTTTCTGCGAGACTTAGAAATCTCCTGGCCAACATATTCAACCATACTTGCCACCATTTTCCCGCGTTGCAGCCATCGTCGGCTTTTCTCGAGATGCAAGAGACAAGTTATTGGTACACAGACCACGGCATACCTGCACTCCCTTCAGCAGCAGGCAGCGATGTGCCGCTCGAAAGCGAATCTGTGAGTTTGTGCAACCCTGCGGTTTCCAACTCCACGGCGCCTTGCTGAGAGAAATACAGTCCAAAGACGTGCTGAGCATCGACGAGCAAATGTTTGTATGCTTCTACGTTAGGTCTATCAGATCAAGCTTAATAACTTTGCGCTTCATAGCTTAAAATACTCCGTTTCTCTGTCTTCCAGCGTTCTGGACTACCCGGTTGAATATGGCCGACGCTATCATGCTTTTCGATCTGGGAGTGAGTTCGTTCTGAGCCGTAGCCCCTATCTGTGTTGGTCTCATCCAAAAAATAGCATATATAATGCCGAACGATGAACCAGAGATGGATAGGATGGACATGTGCCATTCAATGATGACAAGAGCTATTGGAAATAGGCTTTTCCTCGCGCCCCTCGAGAGAAGTAAGATACATGCTGTTCTCGATGTCGGGACCGGCACAGGAATATGTAAGTGAACCGTGTTGTCTCCCTATTTGTGGATATGGGGTTCCTGAATAGAGATGAACAACTGATAACCTTGACAGGGGCCATTGAGATGGGCGATCTATTCGAAAGCGCCGAGATTATTGGAGTTGACCTGAGCGCCATCCAACCGACATGGTAGGTCTGCAAGAAATCCCCGTGATGTACGTAGATGTTACTGATCCTCTTCTTTGTGACTAATCCAGGGTTCCCGAGAATGTTAAGTTCCAAGTCGACGACGTCGAAAGTCCTTGGGTTGAAGTAAAGAAGTACGACTTCATCTTCACACGGTTCTTAGCAGCATCTATTCGTGATTGGCCAAAATTGGTAAAGAACGTATACAAGTATGTTTTCCGTCCATGCCTATGAAGCAATTGAGTGATCGATTTGCCCCTTCACAAGCTCCTCTACACATCTATTCTATGAAGCTACATGTACGGAGTTGTGGAACAAAAGTCTAACCAACATGCAGTCACCTCAATCCAGGAGGCTGGGCTGAGTTTCACGAAATGAACGCAGAGATCTATTCTGACGATGGCTCGTACACGGAAAACCACGTAACTTGGGACTGGAATCAGACCTTTTTGGAAACCATGGAGAACCTAGGCATTGACCCTTGCCCGGGTCCTAAGCTCGAAGGCTGGGTCCGAGAACAAAAGTTCGAGAACGTGTTCCATCAGAAAATCAAAAATCCACTAGGCCCGTGGCCAAAAGATCCATGGTACAAAGACCTTGGACTCATGAACCTAGCACAAATGCTAGATGGCTTAGAAGGCTTCACATTACGGGTGTTCTGTGGTGCTCTCAAGCGGACTAAGGAGCAGGTTCTGGTAGAAGTTGCAAACGTGCGGAATGAAATGAAGACTGGCGCTTATCATGGACTGTATGATATGTAAGTCTTGTCGGTATCTTGCGCGATTGCTCAAACACTTATCATTGATCGCCTAGCCATGTGGTGTACGGACAAAAGCCACACTTCGCCTGAATTAACGTTTCGGGCCACAATACAAAGATTATCGAGTTTGGAGATGTGTATCAGGATCGTGTGGGCTGATGATTTGATAGCTAATAGTCAAGAGATCAAGCATTAGCTCCATGTATTCTATTTGAAGTTTTTGATTGTCTTCTGCTGTGATTGAAAATCATTGCTGACTGTCAAACAACTTTGCTACGCAACTTCTATTAACCCATTCAGATCCGTAGACCTGCATTGTGGTGATACACTTTCCCACAATATGAGTACCCGTATTTGAGAGGCACAAGAGACTCTACAGCTTTCTGAGACGAAGCGAGTCTGTCAAATGAGAACTTGGGAAGAAAGTCAGGGGGCGATGAACAGCATTAAGGACGCCAAGGCGTGGCACATTCCCGCCCAAGCAAGTCCACTTTCACGATATCGAGATCCTAAAAAACAAAAGCAACCAGCCATTTCGACGTTGGCCTGATTCGAACAGACGCTCCCGAAGGAACAAGATTTCTAGTCTTGCGCATTAGACCACTCTGCCACAACGCCTTGATCCACTGAAGGTGGAGCTGAACGATGCTGTTCAGGTGCGGATCATCATGGGTCCTAGGCTAGCAACAACAGCGTGATTATCATCCTGCAACGTGCACCGACCGAATTAATCCTTGGAAAACATCGTAGGCGCATCGCTTGCTTGTGATTAAATCTCCATGCTGTGGGGTTTCCAAGTAAGTATCTAGGTGACGAAGTGGTCAAAGACAAGATGTCGTGTAAGGATTTAACCGTACCATCGTCAGGCAATAAATTGGGTCTATTCCGACGAGCCGGCCCAAGTACCCTCAACCCACTCTTCAAAGCCCCGGAAACCCACAAGAAAACATATCGGTGCCTTCTGGTATCCACGCAGAATGGCCGGTGCGGAGGTAATCAGCCCCCAATAGCTCAAGTCCTGATCATACACTAGGTGCATTGAATGCCGAGGTATCGATGGCCACGGGCAGCGTCTTGAGACTTGCAGGCCTGAAAAACTTAAGCATCGTCTTCCTCCATCGGACTATCAAATATTTGTGGGAGCAAGACAACTCATCCCTGAAAGACCAAGAGCCTGCTCATAATGCTTGGAAACTGCCAGATGATAGTGGTTATTGTGAGTAGAGTCCACGTATTCCTTCTCTCATGTCAATGTGAGATAAATAATGGCTCTCGCATTCAAGCTGAGGCCAGTGCCGCCAGTTCCTATCCCCATCCGAATTTATACGAGAGGGCGAAATCAGGTTGCACTGTAGCAAACCTTTTGTCCCCTCGTATCATGCGTGACCCAGGTAGGATCCACTTGCAAAGTTATCTTGAATCTTGATTGATACATAAGACTCGGCCTTCTTACCTGTACTCATGAACCAAATCCTCATTATCACGCGGAAATGTCTCATTGAGGGCTTGCGATAAATGTTACCGTTTCCCTGGGGTCGCCTTCACATGAGTGCTGTGAGCTGGTGTTGCCCTAGAAAACAAACATGGCAACAGATAACACGTGTGTAGCACAAATACGACGGGCATGCCGACGATTATCTTTCGCTTCAAATTTGTTATTTGACTATATTGACATATCATGTATGAGATGGCTGGCTTTCCTCAGATTGTTGGGGAAAAAATGAAAAGGAAAAGGATTCGGGGTGAAATACAGCGAAGAGCCTAATGCTCAGGGGCACCAGATAAGCTGAACCTAACTCGCAGGGAGTATTTGAGATGGAGTCCGGATCAACTCGCCCCCGATCGGATGAGTTTTACTCACCGCTGCTGATGCAAGATCGAAGCCAGCATGTCAAACACCCATGCCCTAATCTCCGAAGTGACGACTTGCACCAACCGAGTGAGAATGGGGCGATAGCTGGATAGCTGGGCCAATAGCAAGGAGATAGAGAAGATCGCCGCTAGGAAGCCCTTCATATCATGGTCAGGAGATACCAATTCTGTCGATGGCTGCCAACGGCAAAGCCCTGGGCCTTTGGAAGTTTCGTGCTCAAGTTCAGTGAGAACCGGATTTCCAAGAAACAGGAGGATTTGTATGGGATTATTCAATAGCAATATGTATGCGCTGGTTTGCTCCTCGTAATCTCTCTCTCTGCGACTATGGTTCGTTGACTTAATAAATCAGGCCCGTCATGAACGAAGAAGCTTTTCAAATGTCCAAAAGAAAGACGGGAGGAAGGCAATTCCACATCCTGGGATCGCGCTTATCGGCATCAAATATCAGCGCGGTAATCGTTGGGCTACGGTAGTGACCACCTGAACTCTCTTTCGACCCAAGCAAGGAGTACTTGCAGTGTTAGTTCGTCTGGCTTCTATCCATACATCATCTGTGCAACAACATCGCAAGCCAGGCCAATCCACATTTGTCTATCACTGGTTCAACACTCGGCCGATAAAGTTTCATAAGTTCTTCCCTTACGACGCACCGATGCATGGTCCCCCAAAAGCTCTCGAATTATTCCGTGGGGGTATGCAGCCTGCAGCTGTGCAGGTATCAAGGTGTGTGCGCCATGCCAGGGGTAAAAAGGGGGATCATTACGAGATAATACTGCGTACCTCTGCGCACACAGCAACGCTATTACCAGAGATATTTTACCAAATGGTATAAACCGCAACAACCCGCGGATCGCGGAAAGAATTTTCGTTGGTACTGGCGCCTTGAACTGTGCTAGTTCAGAATTCTTCCATGTTTCTATGAACAAACTTTTACGAACGCCCAACCCGATAACCATGGCTCCGGAGCCACTGTCGTTTTGACTATCGATCATCCCAAGTTGCAAGAGTCTAAATCACTGAGACTCATCTCGTTCGGCGGCAAATGGAAAATCATAGGCAAATGTTCTGCTCGTAGCTCTGCCCACTTCAGGAACCGGAACCCGAAGGGAGGGTAATTAGAGTTCACGGTATTTGAACCCCCGGTACCGCGGCGGGGGATCACGGTTTTCTGTCACTCGCCGTGCCTCTGGACAAGGGAACGAGTGGGGCTTCATGAGTTCGCATTGCAACGTCACGGCCTCTGGCCACGCTCATCGGGGCAATGGGGGACAAGGAACCTGACTCGGGTCGTCCGAAACACAGGGCATGGTAACCAGTTCTTGCTGTGATCAAGGACGCCTTCTCGCCTGGGAGAACCTTGGGTTTTATCAGTGGCAGATAACTTCTTACCCCCTGCGGCACTGCCCTGAGCGCTTGAATGTTATCCTGTTTTATCATGGTAGTGCTACTACCACTGCGACGCGGTAAATGCCACATGCTACGCCAGCACTCGATGGAAGGGAAAGGGTCGTCTCTCGTGGGAAGGTGACTGTGACAATCTGCACTTTCCTCACTGTACCTCCTCTATCATCATGAACAGGATGACCCCTCAGACCTTTGTGATACATATCTCTCAGTATCTCCAGTGACATTCCCGCATTTGGATTGTCTGCTGTGCAGATTGAATACGCTCCTTGCTTGCAGCCTCGACTTTCTTTGCCATCTTGCAGCGGCGACGATCGAAATTCGGTGGAAGTCTGTGTCCTCAACACTGCGCAAACACTCTCAAGTCGTCCAACATGGTGACGATGAACCATGACTACACCAAGGGTCAGATGATCGGCCTGGCCATTGGGTTCATGATTATTCCTACAGCGTTCTATGGACTTCGCGTCTGGGCGAAGCTACTCGTCAAAAGATTTGCATGGGACGACTACCTGACTGGAGCAGCGCTCGTAAGTCTGAAGATGGAGCCTGAAGCCATTGGCTAGATTATATACTGACCGGTGCTCACTTTGAACAGCTGGTATCAATCACCTGCTGTACTCTGCAACTAGCTAGTATGTCTCAAATTTCTATGATCACTTCGGAAGAAGGAGGAACTGACACGAAGGCAAGCTGCAATTCATGGTCATTTAGGACAACATCAGCCCACGTTCCCCGACGGCTCCCCAATTATGGATGATCCAGGGTTGATCTTCTTCGAAGAGGTGAGCTCAGCTTTCCAGTGCGCCGGCGTCGCATCTGACACCCTGCTAACAAGCTTTTCACACATTAGACAAAGTTTGCACTCAATATGATTTCGATTCTGGGCCTGGGGCTCGTCAAATCATCCATCCTCGTGTTGTATTACACCCTCTTCCCAAGCCAAAGGTTTCGCTACGTCGTCTTTGGCGTACTAGCCTTTGTGATCGGATGGACGGTTAGCTTCTTCTTTTCCCATCTCTTCACTTGCTTCCCTATCACGGTCTTCATCGAGCCCTACTATGGCAACTCGTGCGTTCAGACTGTACCGATGTTCCTCGCGCTTCTGTTCACCGACGTCATTGCGGACTTTGTCATTCTCGTACTACCGGTCGCGATGGTCCTCAAAGTCCAGATGCCCCTTAAGAAGAAACTTGCAGTCATTGCAATGTTGGGACTTGGTGCTGCGTAGGTTCTTTAATGACATTGGCAGAAGAAAGTGGTTGCTAACGCAGTGAAGCGTCTGCGCTGTGAGTGTCACGAGAGTGGTGGCTACTTTTGCTATCGCCGAAGAGTATGTCAAGCACCCTAACGATGTCATCTGTGAGTCAAATTCATACTCATCAACTACGGCTCCTTCTCTAACGGTGGCATGAAGACTATACTGCCCCCGTCTTCTTTTGGACCAACATTGAACTGTCGCTGGCCATTGTCTGCGCCTGTCTCCCAACACTCCGGCCAATCTGGGTGCACTTCTTCCCCAAGCCCATCACGACAGGAAACGATTCCTACGAGTACGGATCATCGCGACGTATTGGTGGGAAGAACAGTATGAGAACACCAAGAACGCCGTATGAAGAGCTCGATGAACTGGAGATGATTCGAAACGACGACAAGACGCGCTCAGGCTCTCCCGAAGGACGAGATATTCTTAGAGAGACAACGATTCATCAGACGATTGAGCCTTCAGACAGCTCGAGTACTGCCAACTTAAGGACTAATGGTGTTGGATTATGAGCAGGAGAACTAGTTTGAGGGAGAGATATGTTTGAGCGTTGATTTTTGACATTTTTGTTCATGGTTCTAATGAGACAGATTTTGTTGTTTTTCTTGAAGATACCTCACTTGTACCTTTGCCGACTGCTATGGTAACACCGGACCTGAGCTAGACTTTGGCACTCACGTTTGTTTATCGATCCTTGACCTAATCAATTTATACGATGGTATCCGAACCAACTTGCAATTGAAGCAGCAATGCCCCCTATTAAACGTCACTCAACCAAAATTGTCGAATTTGGGTGTCAGTCGCAGGACTTCGTCAGTCGATAAGCCGCGTGGCTTCGAAAATTCCACGTAGACCCTGGCAAATTGCTAAGATTGCGATTCGGAGAGCAGCGGTGCCGCCGTGCCGGGGACTTACGGACATAACCAAAGCACAGTTCTTGGTGTGCTTCAGATGTCCAAATAACCTCTTCATCCACAACCTCCACAGTACGGGTCGGCGGGGGCAGAGAGGGGATGATTATCTCGCCAAGGGGGGTTTTCTCTTTCGACAATCGGTGCAGCGGAACCGTTTGGTATCGTATGTCCCGCAAGACAAGGTCGAACCCAGCAACAAGCTCCACCTGCAATGCCAGGGCGACCGGACACGACCATGTCGCGGTTGGGATTCCGTAATCTTTTGCCAAGGATGGGAACGGTTGCGTCGTTTTTCTGCGATGGATTTCCAACGCCCCTTGTCTTATAATAGTAATATTCGCCCAGAAGTCCGCTCGTTAGTGGCCGCAAGCTCCGAGATGCGACGGTCACATTGAAGATGGATTGACTGATGGAGAGAGGAGTTTCCCCTCTCTCTCCTCTTCCCCCCTTTGATGGTGGCATGGTATGATGGTGCAGACCAAGATGGAGAACCTCATGTCCGTTTGATCCCTACCAAGACTATGCGACCTAGCAGCGACCAACACCAACGCAGCTGCATACCATGGTAACCGGGAGAATTAGTCGGCATATGCCTCTTCTATAATGGTCCAGGACTTTACGCGTGGATCCAAGGGGGTCATGTGGCTGGGAGTCTCATCGCATCCTACATCATACTTGTAGACGCAGAGGTGAACTCGCGCACATTCGCAGGCCCTTAAAGAAACTTGTCCTGCTCTGCGGTCGTCCATGCACGAGCTTCTTGGCTATCACAGTCTCTCGCCGACGATCACCTGCCACTGCTACCCCCGGACGACACCATGCGGTCCCTAATCATCGGTCTGCAGCTCATCTCAATGGTAGCATCTGCTGCCATTAGCATCAACGCCCGTTCCGTAGCCGAGGATTTGCAAAACCTTGTCTCGACTTCCTCCGTGGCCGTCGAAGTTCGAGAACGTTGGAGTGACTTCGATGTACCTCTGCCATCAGTCATTGTGAATGCGACATCCGAGAAGGATTTGAGTGCTGTGGTAGGTGCACCGACATTTTCGGCCGCATCGGATCACCCTCTACTTTGCACTTGCTGATATCTATCTGCCACACAGGTCAAGTACTGTTCAACAAATAACATCTCTTTCCTCCCCCAGAATGGCGGCAATGGTTGGGCTACCAAACAATTCAACCTGGGCAGCAACGGCGTCCTGATCAATCTTGCCGGCTTCAACCAGGTTAATATCAGTACCGACAAAAAGACAGCGACGATTGGTGGAGGAGCTCTCATTGGCGATGTCGTTGCTGCTGCTGACGCTGCAGGCGTCTTGGTCCAAACCGGCAACTGCAACTGCGTCGGCGCTCTCGGGGCAGCCCTGGGCGGTGGATATGGCAACATCATGGGTGAACATGGCTTTGCTGTCGACAACATCTTGTCTATGCGCGTAATTACTGCCACCGGAGAGGCTCTGACCGTTTCAAACTCATCTAACCCGGACCTTTTCTGGGCTCTGAGGGGCGCAGCACCCAACTTTGGCATCGTCACTTCCGCAACAGTGAACGCATGGGCGACACCAAGTCGTACATCCTGGATCATGTCTCTGACCTTTGACTCCTCAAAGATCGCAGATGTGGCTCAGACCATCCAAGATCTTCCGTTGCTCCCGGAACAAGTCGTCTACCTGGTGCTGACAAATTCCGGCGACTCTTCGAATTCGCCGATGGTTCTTGTCACTGGCTTCCTACGCGAGGGAACCGAAGAAGCTGGCCGCACCGCCTTTGCGCCTTTGTACAACCTCGGACCCCTGACGAACTCCAGCGTGGTCACTCCCTACCAACAATGGAACGCCGCCAACGACAACTTCTGCGCCCGCGGAGGACGCAAACCGGCATACAGCACGACGATTAACAACATGAAGTCGGAAACATGGCCTGAGATCTGGACTCTATACACCGATTTCCAAAAACAGACAGGTGCACAGAATTCAGCTGTGTTGATCGAGAGATACAACCTGACCACCGCAAAGTCGATTCCTTCTGGGTCGGCAGCTATGCAAGACGAGCTCCGCCAAGGAGCGTTCGCGCAGGCGATTGTCATCCCATGGTATGAGGATGCGAGCCTAGATACCCAAGCTCTGGAATTCGGCGCAAAAGTCCGAAATATCTGGAGCTTCTCTTCGAGTGCCACCGTGAACCCGACGTAAGTTGGACGTTCATTTACTATTTTTCTGTTTTAGATATGGTCAACTAACGAGTGTTCAGATACATCAACTTTGCTCATGGGGATGAGGAGCTTCAAGCCATCTACGGCTCAAGCTTAGATAAACTCAGGACTTTGAAGAAGAAGTTCGATCCTTCAGGGGCGTTTGGTCAGTGGTTCAAGATTGCATAAGCTGTTTTCCATGACTTCGTCTCGAAGTATTGGAACATGTAGATAAGCATTAAACTCACTCTACGGTGGACGTATAACAAGAGACTCATAGAAAGTACGACATGTGTTGTCTGCTCGATTCTGCACTTTGAGTATTGTCAATCCGCATCGATATGCACAAGTATAGTATTGAAGATACCGATCATATATTACAGAGTAAAAGTACCTTCCAATAGCACGTATTTTCATATCGTCTCCAACCACCTTTCGTCTTGTCATTTACTCTCTTTTGATGATACATGGATACTTGACATGACCAAAATCTGAAGTTCATCTCAACACAGCTTCAAGTATCATCTGAACAGTGATTGGTCTTGGGAAAAGTATGTGTCTGAATTCTATTGATGTACGCGCTCTCATGCCTTCATTAATAAATTGCAGCAACCTCTCCGAAGAGGCCGAGGGGTAAGTTGAAGCCTCGATTTATGCAAAGTCCATACCAGTGCAATAACACTAGTGCACCGTTCCAAAGCCGTTCCAAAACGGCCGCTTTTCATAAGGCACAACTCCATATTAGGCTGAGCAGGCGAATGAGTACGAAACGCCACTGAAATGATCACTGCAAGCTCCGTATGTAGACTCGCCGTTCAGCGAAACAGGGACGCAAGTCTCCACCGTCTTGTTTGTCTTCGTGTCAACAACGGCGGTGACCTCGGGGTTGGCGTACAAGGGAATGTTGTCGTCCACACATGCCAGCTCCAAGTTGTAGTATGTGGTGTTTGTCACAGCGTCAGTGACGTTGAAAGGGTTGCGGCAGATGGGCTTGAAGACGTAGGTGTTATACGCGCGGATTGTGGTCCATGTCGCGGTGCCCTTCACGGCGCCGCGGGTGTCGCAGACTTCAGTGACCTCTTGCGTCGTTGTGGGAGTGAAAGGGGACCACGCAACGAAGAGATTTCCGTGGGGGTAGCTGAGGTAGCCCAAGTTGATGGGCGGGAGGGCAGCTGAAGCCGCAGCGACGAAAGTGGCGCTGAGAATGGTGGAGAGCTGCATTTTGGTGGTTTTGGTGGGAACAATCAGGTCTTACTAGTCGGGTCAACAGCACGAATTCGATGATAGGTGGTTCTGGCAAAAACGAGAGTGGCCTGGCTCATCGGAGTCCGGGATGATCGGTCTATCGCACTGCTCTTAAATACTCAGGACAAGAGCCATGGCAACCCCTAGCAGCTGCAGGTCTAGAATCTCGTTCCTTGCAGTTTAGTGGTTCGTTTGGTTCGGCCCTCACTTACTGTCCGTGCCGTCATAGTTTCCGTGGACCTTTGATCGGCCTAGACAAGGGCGCTGCAGGAAACATTTCAGCCGTTGCGCGATCATACCTTGTCCTAGGCCCGATGAATGACCCGCGCTAGAACCAAAGTGCCAACCCATCAGGTTTCTTGGGCAGTCGGTCAAGGAGAAAATCTCTTTCGCTAAACTTCTGCCTAGTAAACATGGAGAACTTCCTTTCTCGTGCGGCTTGGGTCGTTGGTGAGAGTTGTCAGTGAATGTATTCAAGCAGAACCAGAATGCAAAAACCGTATTCGAAAATTGTGAAGAGAGGCCAATGGCAGATACAACGTGACATCATTGCTGTGTATTCAAGCCCTGAGATCGCACTAGAGTGCGGCACAGAGGCGGCAATTGTCAGGCGGAACAGGGCTGCAGATTCAGCGGTGAAATACGAGCCGTTTTGTTGCTCAGACACGGAAGCTGACGGCACTTAGTGGGGACGTCATGCAATCCTTCTCGTGTTGTCGCCCCGATGGTTCCACAGAACAGATCAGGGGCGATCATTGTCTCCAAGCGGTAAAGAGGATTCTTTGCTTCGGAAACCCGTTGTACCATAAAGATATTTATCTCTTTTTTGCGAATTGAACTTTAGGAAAAAGGGTTGAACGACAGTATAAGTACGCAGGCTTTCTAAAGCAGGCAGCCAGGTGTTAGGGCACAGAGGCTGAAAAGGTTGTCAGTCGCTGCAGGATTTTCCCAAGATTTATACTTTGCCACACCTTGAAAAAAGAAATCGAATTATACGATGGAGGATCTTTGCTTTGTCGAAAGAGAAAAACAAAACATCCACCCAAAGTAAGAGATTTGACAGTAGGTGAATCTTATAACTATCATGGCGGGTCGAAATTGTTGTGTAGACTGACATGAGAGTTCTAATACGCATCAAAACCAATGGAGCCAGGCACGAAACAGGTGGGAAGACGGACTCTTGCCTCGCATGTGCCAAAAGATTTTGCTGATTCATTTACAACTCTGACGCTGTTCTCCAAGCTCTATGATTCATCAACTTTCTTCAAGGCGCTTCTCTCATGATGAACGCCTACACATATTTGGCCTGTTTATTTTCCCTGGACCTGCAACTCGAATTCGTTTTTGTGCTACTCGGGTCTTAGAAAATCCTCATTGTACTGCATCATTCTATTCTCTTGCTTGGACCCTCTCAGCCAGGCGCTTAGTACTCATCAAAGTGATGCTGATGCTTTAAGTTCTCAACTCACCGGCTACTTTAATGTGTGATCAGATACCAACGCCGCCTTCCACTGAAGGGGCGGAGAACAACCCGTCAGCGTCACCGTCGTGAATGACTCAAAAGCGCAACTTGGAATGGAAACTATTCTTTTTGTCCGAAACAATACCCTGATCCCTGTTCATACATATCTGCAGCAGACTCGGGAGTTCAATGAACGTAACGGAGGGGCAGAGGTGTCCCAACGTTAGGACTTAGTGTCAATAGAAATCACCTACAGCCTTTTGAAACACATGCGAAGTCCTAGAAATGTAGACTAGTGAGCATTGAGTTTAAAAGAACTCGATATTGCCAGTAGTTGTTTTCTCTGGCCCTGTCTCAAGAGTCATCATCACAACAGTAGAACCTCATTCCGATGGTCTCACACGCCCGAGATAGCCTGCCCTGAGACGTCTCAGTCAAGATTCTGCCGGGAGGGAGGGGGGCTGGGGGGTTGGGGGGAGACATCGGCAACTGCATCTTCAATTATACATGTATCTTGGCAGCGCATACTCTAAATCATAGTCTAGCCAGCTAGCATCGAAGAATCTAGTATATTAACTCATATGTCATCAGGGTATTGGTCAAAAAAATCCTTCCTCCCTTCGAGAAGCGCATCTGCATTCAACCGCACACTCCACCTCACCATATCTGTCATGCTGACCTCCCTAAAGCCATCACCGTGGTTCCCAATGTCGCTCATTGCGCTGTTGGGGCCGGCCGGTCGGTGATGGTGGAACAAAGCCGGCTGTGTCGTCAAGCAGTTGTGTGGTTTTCTGCCCTTGGCGCCCTCGCAAAAGAACCTCAAGAGAATGTCGTACGCATCGCTGACATCCTTCAAAGCCACCTCATGTAGGAGCTTCCTCGCTCCCCTTTGGCTAACCGCATATCCTAGCGTGCAAACACCCTCCTGGGCATGGTGATAAGCCCGCGTATGCTCCGGATACGTCTCTTTAAAAGTGAATGGGATGTTGAACGTCCATAGGTTCTTCTTGGGAGCGACGGTTACGTCGTTAGAGCGGATGATGCGAGCTTTCGGTATACTCTTATTGTCTCGGAATGGGAAGTGCATTCCGCAGTGGCCGATCCAGAGCAGGTCCCAGTCGTCACCGTATGGTGATGTTTTCGGGGACACGGTAGCTGGGAGATAATCAAAAGGAATATCCGGAACGACTTCTGGCGAGTTCTCGATCGGCCTCGGGTATGTTGGGTCCGCATAAGTCGAAGGTCCATCGGCAAGAGGCTGAGTAAGGGTCTGAGCTGAGAGAGCAAAGTCGTGCAACTGCTGCCTGATTCTGATGTCCCAGTCGACATCGTCTTCTAGGATCAGAGCTGAAGACAGGTTATGACGAACGATTCTTAGGGATGAAGTCAGTGGATTGAGTATTTTGTGGTCAGCATGGACTCGACTCACTCTTCGAGCGCAGTCATGTGGCCACGCCAACAGCCTATGGCGCCATCATGCAAGCGATCATGCTCGCTTGTCTTTGGTATCGCCTTATCGACCACGGTGTTGCCAGGCACACCATCAACAAAATTGATTTCAATCTCACTCAGCGCAGCTTGCAGAATCATGCCATCTCTGCGATCTGTCCGGCTTGGAAGGCCAACGACGAAAATCTTTTCAAACTACATCCACAGGATCGTGAGATTGTGTTTGCCCCGACCAGCGTTGGGAGAGGACTCACGCCTAATGTACTGTTTTGAATCGCGCTCATCAAACTTTTTGACGAGACTTTTGAAGCTGTGCCTCCCGGCCGTGGGATGTGGTCTGGGAAAGGGTTATGCAGGAATAACACAACAGTGACGAAGACTGCTGCAATGATGCACAGGTCCCTCTTGGAGGTCGGCCTGATGGGTAGAAAAGCCATCCTACTCGTTTTGTGCATTAGGAAAGGACAAGCAGAACACCGGAAACTTGCAAAAGAGAGTCTTGAAAACAGCCAACAAGCGGAGTGAGCCTGACGGGGGACAAGTCTTATGAAAGAAAGAGGACAATCAGCTGGCAAGCCAAACCGTATTTGACTGCATGGTGGGTTCTCTAATTAAAGATCTCGGCCGGCGGCGGGATGGGCGGGAGGGGGCACAATGTAATTTTCAGCCAACCCCCAAAAGAAAGACCAGCATCCACCCGGTTGCTTACTGACTGATAAGATTCGGAGAGGGGCAGAAGATCTTCCTTCAATCTTACGGGACATGCTCTCAGCCCTGCACGCAGGCAACTTTGTTCTAGGTGTTCATCGCAAATGCATACCCAAAGTGGCCGATCCTGGGATGAGAGAAAGGGGAGCAGTCCGGAGAAAGCTGATTTGCTTTTCAGAAAAGGCTTGGCGTTGGTTGGGACTTTGAATGCACCACGCATCACAGCACCTTGGCAATACGAGGCCGTTGCTTCGTATTTGTTCCGCAAGTCTGCGCTGAGCCCTCAATAACGGCGGCAAGAAGGCGGGCGGTAAGAAATTGGGCGGCAACAATTCTCACGTTATGATTGGACCTTTTCTCGACACCCTTGACTGGCACAACCAGCAGAAAAGCCACATCTCAGGGTCAGGGGTAGACCCTGTTCCGGCCGAGAGCAAACATCACCGTGAAGGAAATGATACGGAATATCATCGTGATCTTATAAATTGGGGATGCAAAGCCTTTTCCTAGGAATTTGGGGTTCGTTTACTTTAGACCGCGTTTGTAGAGTCTCTAGATATGCAGGCTTTTGGGTAGTCGAGTGTCAAGTCTTCCTGATGATCTACGCCAACGCAGGTTCAGACTTCGCGGAGTACAAAAGGATGCAAGGGGTCCATGCATGCAGCGTAAGCGGCAAGAATGGAGATCAATCAGTGACTTGCGGGCTACAGTACCCAGCCGAGCCAGCCTGAAGCAAGCCCTCGAGAAAGTGACCCAGACGACTTAAGAATTTAGACCGTGAAGTAGGAACAAAGTGGCAGGCAAGCTGTTGGAAGTTGAGAGTCCAGCAGATAAGTGTTGGAAGTTCGACAAGGGTTTGGAACACGCCTGTGGGCCTCCGAACCACAGTGCCGGGTCGGGCGTAGCATCCGCTGGCAACGGCCAGCCGTCGATCTGAGTCTAATATTAAGGAAGCAACATCACGCTCGTGGTCGAGTCAACGCCGCCTTGACTTGACAATTGCGCACCAACAAACAGTTCTCCAAGATGTTCTCCGCAGTCATATTGTGGTTTTCCCTCTTCCCTTGCATCTATGCGCAGTTCTTTAGCCCCGTTCAAAAGAGAGAAACATGGAGAATAGGAGAAACAAAGAATATCTCTTATAGCACAAAGTTCAAAAACTACACAATAGCACTTTGGCAACAATCTCTGATTGGCGACTCCGCAAGCGTAGGAGACATTTTGTTCTCCATCCGTAAGTTGATGGGAGAGAATGAGTTTTCTTGGCCTCGCTAACAGGAACTCCAGAAGATGGCTCGGGTCCCGTCAAAGAGCTTACATGGACAGTCGCGACGAACAAGTTTGACTTGGGCTCGTCAAATGTCTTTTTCCTCTGGCTATTCGAAGGCGACCCGTCTCATCAGGGAAATTTCGACTTTCAACGCCTACTTCAATATCACCGACGAGTCCGAGATTCCCAAAGTAACCCTACCGTTATTAACATCCACAAGTGCGATAATCACTTCAACTTCCGAACTCCCAACCACCACTCAAACCCTTTCACCTGTATTTTTAGCAGAACCCTCGACCCAACAAACGATTGTCAGTGGACGACAGACCGCATCTGCTGGCACACCTACTTCCACTGCCAGACAGAGCAGCAGCGCTGAGTCTTCTGGTGGTAGTAATGGCAGTGGTCTACCTGTTGGATCGCAGGCTGGTATCGGAGTCGGTGTTGGTGTCATTGGAATCACTTGCGTAGTCTGCGCTATTACATGGTGCAGGTATCTCAAGCGACGTCAGAAGGCTCTTGACAATCTACAGGAAATGGCGTTATCACAGCCTCCTGCATACAACCGCGACTCGGCAAGATTAGCACCAGCGGTGGTAGAGGCGCCTCAGTCGCCGTCTAGATCGAACGGCTTTTACATCAGTTCGAAGCCTGTCGAGATTGGTTGATGGGATTGTTGGACGAGGACACGGTTTGCGCGGATTCTGTGTAATTCTATTCTCCTGCGGGTTTGCGATTCAGAGCGATGGCGCATGGCACATGGGCAGGGACTCACGAACATTCAAGATATCCGTGTAGTACAATAGTTATTTATGTTTAATGATACCACTAGATGGAGTAAGGTAGTAAGAGACTGAACTCAACGATGCGAATATGCCAAGTTGGCCGTAATGTGCCTTGCCCTGCCTGCCCCATCCGACGCTCTGATCTACTAACATGCCAAGTTATGCCTTTCAATATGCACACCTGCCATGGAAGCACCACGAGAATGTGTCTGTGGGCCTGACACTACAGCTCGTGGTCATTAAGGTTCTCAACAGGTGTGAAGATGTTTGCTACAGGGGGCGCAAGCATGTTTGTGTTAGGTTCTCAGCCAGCCACGCGGTGGACAGGCCACAAGGCCAATTATTGGGCTTCCTTCCAATCTACAGACGGCCCTGCAATCTTTCCACCGCGTGCCAGTATGGCCAGATTCTTCTTGGGTAGCCGTTACATAGTGTGAGGATCTTGGAAGTGACTTTCATATTGTACTTATGTAGTTTCTTGTTGAAGCAAACTATTTAGTTACCTACTAATAGCACCCAGTCAAGGTCGTCCAACACCCAAACCTAATTTGCCATTCAGTGACCTTTCTCCACTCAAACGTCACTATTCACCACTCGTAGAAGCTCATGGGTATGCCTTGGGATAGAAGCTTGAGGATTTGCTGCCCAGAAACGTCTCCACCACTGCCAGCTGCAATAAGAAACGGCCAAAAGTGCTCAGCCTCGGCTCTCACATGAGCCACATAGCTCGATGGATTATCACGCCAGCGCTTAAGAGCCTTTTCGCGAGTTTTTGCGTCGGCAATTGCCGCCGTGGACTCGAGGTAGCTTTCAAACTCCTCAGCCCCTGAGGGGAGTTCGCTAGAACCTTGAAACACATTTTTGATAGTCAAGAAGTCATGGTATGATCCGCCGCTCCCCATGATAGCGTATCCAAAGTCTCGAAAGTACTCCAAGGCGCAACCGAGACGCAAGTTCTTGTCTGTGGCCTCCTTCTCGTCCTTCCCAGTCAGAACAGACACCTGGACAACAGGTATGTCTGCTTCGGGCCGCATGATCTTGAGCGGGACAAAGACACCGTGGTCCAGGCCTCGCTTATAGTCGAGAACCGGTCTGAAGCCGCAATCCTGAAGTCTTTGGTTGATTTCCGCGGCTAAAACTGCGTTTCCGCGGATGGGATATTTGGTCTCGTAGGCCTCTGGTGGAACGAGGGATTGGGCTGCAGCCACAGTTCCGTAGTCGAAGTAGAGACCGGGATCTTCAAGAGCAGTGATTTCGGGCTCATTAGATTCCCAGTGCGCTGATAGAAGGATAATTCCTTTGGCCCCATCGAGCTTGCTGCCCAATTTGGCGACTTGCTGCCGGAAATCCTCCAAGCCTGGATGAATGAGTGGGAGGGGGCCTGCTCCATGGCTGATGAAAAGGGAAGGGGCGCGAATCTCTGGAATTGCCATAGTGAGAGAAGTGAAATCTTTTTGAATTTTGAATGAATTAGCAGGTAGTGTAATTGACAAAATTCATGTCTCTCCTTTAATATTTGGGCACGAGTGAGGAAAAAGCTGGGCTATTTATGGCATCGGCTGCAGAGTCTCCCGAAAGTCCATCGGCATAAAATATTGCGAATGATTCCAGTAGTAACTCATACTTCCCATCACGAGAAATGACTTATGACAGTGTATTGGTCTCAGGATCAATGTTGCAGCCCCTTCAAGAGCATCGTAGCATTGCTGGGTCCTGGCACGCCACTTGTCCGACACTACTCCGGCGGGTTGGCCCGGTCTTGGCCCAGCAAGCGGTGGGTCAGCGGCGGACTAGCGGCGGACTAGTTCGATATTCTACCCGAAACAGTTTGTCAGCAACCTGACTCTCCAGGAACAGTCCGCGCTATGAGTGCTCTGCGGGCTGCTCCGAAACTTCTCTCGAATTCATTCCAATGTGGTGTTTGCCAAGGTTACTTGATCTTGTACTAAGGCGAGTATGTCGGCAGATAGTCCTTCTTCAAACGCCTGTTATTCGTGCTCGACAAAGAAGAAGGGTTGCGATCGGCTACGACCGGCTTGTAGCCGGTGTATAGAGTAAGTCAGAAACGAGCGTTGTTTTACAAAGCACTCGAATTACTGATGCCGAAAAGTAACAATAGTTTATGTCACTACGGCTCTCCTTACAAGGAGGCACCTCGGGTTCCTTCTTCTCTTCTAGGGCCAACTCCATCAACACGCCAAGACCACGACGACTTGCTAACAGCACACGTATTGGCCACGCTGAAAGTCCTCGACCTTGAAATAGAGGGAGTGGTCGATGGATACTTGAGATCGATCCACGAATGGATCCCGATCATTCACCCAGCCAGGTTGAGAAAACAAGCAGCGTCATTACATAGCAGGCCATCTGCCGAGCTTGCCTGTCTCCTCTTGCACATTTTACTCATCACCCCGGTGATACCCTCTGCTTCGGCACCATATAACGAACCTCTCTTTCCGTCGCTCTATGATAATTGCAAGTCGTCATTCCTATTATTACAGAAATATTCGAGAGGCCATTTGCAAACCATCCAGTCAGGCCTACTACTTACTATATACGAGCAAGGCCGGGGCCTCGTGTCTGACGCGTATGCCACGCTGGCAATATGTGCCAGTCTTGGCCACATCACTGACCTACACCAATCCTTGAATCCCGCTACAGTGTTCAGTGAGGAGAAGATGCGTGTGTGGTGGGCTATTTTCTTCCTCGATAGACTTGACTCTTATTCCACTGGAAACACTGAACGAGCACCACTTGTTCGCGATGCTCGACTCGGTGCGATACTTCCCAGAGAGGATGATACATGGAGTCAAGATCTCAATACCAGCGGCTCGTTCCAACCGCTTGCATTTTCTGCAGACGATTTTCAGACCTACGGGGTCTTCGCCAGCGAAATCCAGGCCCTCTACGCGCTGCAAAGTGTCATGCAGCGCACCAGAAATCCGTCTGTCGAGCTTGAGACACTTCTTGACCATGATTCGTGGAAGCTCGACATGCTGATACAAAAGAAAATCCGGGAAACCCTGACCATAAGCTGGAGGCGGTTGGAGCACCAGTACACAGTGGTTACTGTATATCTCTTGCAAGTGATACTCCAAAAATGCGTCAGGGAGCGGCAGCTAACAAAGTAAAGGGCACTAATAAAACTCCACGAGAAAAGGTTGACATGTAAAGATGGGGAAGAACTTCCTTTGTTTGTCAAGGAATCATCCATCGCAGCTCTTGAAATGGCCCTTACCATTGCGCATGATCTGATGCGTATGGAGAAGACCGTGGACATTCTCAAACTCGACAGGATGCCTCTCACCGCTGTCATCCTGTACAAGAAGGTCGGCTTAGCAGCAATCCTGCTAGGAGAACACTACGGTCGTGACACCGAGACTCTGTTACGAGAAGTGATTCAGATGCTCTCGGAACGAATTTCAAGAAGATGGAAAATTGCTCGTGGGTTCTCAACTTCAGCTCTATGGGCTGCTGTATTGGTACATGAAAGCACGACTGACTCTCTCAGTTCAAATCGCTTCTCAACTCCGCGAAGCCCTTCCTCTGGTTCAGGACGTAGACATAGCTTCGGCGACTCAACTCTAGCTTACCGAGACTCAAACCTTGAGACAAAAATCCGGTTATTCTCTTTAGACCGCACCTCTTGTTGAGTTCAGCGTGGAGTTCGATCCCAAACTGCCTCCCAGCGCCGCCGTGTAAGCGAGATTCCATGTCAAACTCACTCCGCTCAGGTAGGGGCTGTCAGGAGTCTGCTTCTTCATGAACTCGTAACTTTCAACCGCACCAGCCTTATCCGCAATCGCGAGGTTAGCGTACACATGGCCCGCGAAGCCGCCGCTAGTGAGAGATCCCGACTTGTTGCCGGCAAAGTACTGGTCCCATTCCTCCCTCACAAACGAAGCCTTCCGTACATACGCGCTACTCGGCACGATTGGCAGCATATGAATGCCCTGAATATAAGCAATTTCGTCGCCAAAGTACGTCGTGTGGTTGATCTTCCTGTCCCAGAGAATGCCTGTCGCGCGGTTTCCAATGAAGTTGGGCGGCTGAACATCGTTGTCGCTTGCCATGAGGAAGTATGACTGAAGACTGCGTGCCGTCACGGCAAGCTGGAGGTTGCCTCGGCCCTCGAGTTTGGCGTCTCCAATAACCTTGCCCCACATCTTGATCGCGTACGTCGAGAAAGCATCCTCGGCAGAGGACTCTTGGTCCTTGCCATCCGGCGCTTCAAGTACACCCCTGGCCCAGCTGTGGCCATGAAACCAGTCGAAGTTTCGCGAGAAGGGAAAGAAAGGGTCTTCGGTTGATGGGTTGGACCAGTCACGAATCAAGTTGTTGACCCAAATCTTGTTGAGGCCGTCATTCTTTGTCAACCAAGATGGGTTGAAGTGGGCAATGATTGCAGCAGCATACACATAGTAGCCGTAGTGAAAGTTGTGATCGTTATAATACGTGTTACCAAAGTCGATCGAAGAGTCGTTGTTGCCGTACGACCCAGAAGAGACCAGGCCTTTCCACACGTCGTCGTAGAACAGGGGGTTTGGCTCCTGGTTGTTGACATACTTGTCAAACGCAGCCTCAAGCTTAGTGAGCGAGCTGGCTGTGAATGAGGTATCTCCAGCAATGTTGTTGACAGCATAAATCGCCCTTGCGTAAACCGAAAAGGCGATTCCAGCGTAATACTTGGACGTTAAGTTGGTCAGGGTTGTAATGTCCCGCGCAAGCTCGATCTTTGCTGCCATAATGATTGCAGCTTTAGCGTCTTCTGAAACGGTTGCTGCTGAGCCCGCGGATCCCACTGATCCAAGACTAGGCGACCAAGGATCAAAGCCCATATCCGTCGGGAGTTCGGGTTCCACCATGGTAAACTCGTCCGCAAGCGTAGCCGTGGCAATTCCCTTGGTCGTACTCGCCAATGTGATGTTCGTTAAACCCCTGGCGGTCTTTTGGTCAAATGACTTGACGTGATGCGGCAGAGCAAACATGAGAAGTGATCGTTCCTTGATCCCCTTCTTTTCCCACGCCAGGGTATAAGTTCCAGTCTTGCCGGAGACAGAGCCCGAGAGCGTGGCGCCAACCGGGTACGCTCCAGCGGCCTTGCTAAAGACGTCAATTCCGGCTCTACCTGCTGGGTTCTTGGCGATTTGAACAGTTCCAGTAAATTGCTTTGGTCCCAAAATGGTTCCCTTGTCAGTCATCCGAAGAGTTGGTCTCTCAGACGTGGAAGTTGGGTTGAGGTAAATCAACCAACTCGATCCATCGCCCAATCGCGCATCCCACCCATACACTGTAGCTCCAAGTCCATGGGAACTCAAACGAAGGTCGGTGATGTTTGAGAAGTGCTTTTGAGACTGGATGAGAACGGTCGCGTCGTTGTAAACACCTGTGACGAAAGCCATGCCCTGGACTACGGGGAATGAGACAATCGGTTTGGCGCCTTTTCCTGTTGCAAGGTTGACATTGGCGGAAAATGCTGTCAGCGAGTCTGTAGTCAGAACCGTTCCATTCTGCAGCTCCCGTGCCGAAAGCGCGATAGATTGATCAAAGAATGGATCCTCGAAAGACTGCACGGGCTCTCCAGGCCCGTAGATGAAGTTGCGCCGATCCGTATGAGAGATAGACAAGCCGTGGCCCTGTTTGACGGTATCATTAGACCACCAGACGGAGTAAGGGTGAGTCCATGTCGCGTTGTCTTGGTTATTGGCGAAGAAGTTCGCGTAGAATTTGTTGGTTTGGATTGGGTTGTCGTTGTTATCGACTCCGACCGGTTTCTGTGGGTGATCTGCTCTCGACGGAACTAGAATTGGCCGGTCGTGAGAAATTTTCACGAAAACGTTGTCTGATCCTCCTCTCGCTGATTCTCCATTTGCCCTCACGTTATGGATAACTGAGCGTCGCATTTCGCCGTGACTGTGGAATCCATGGTGCCGGTGGGATTGAACGCCTCCGAACAGCAGGATGACTGCCACAATGGTTTTGCTGAACATTGTTTAAAAGAGTGACAATAATGAGTGACTTGAAATATCCTCTAATGAGGCTACACGAAAAATGAAGACAATGATCAGTGAAGATCTTCAGTCGATATGACCATAGGACATTCTCATCTCTAATATCTGCTTTGGGGGGCGGGAGCCGATGGGTATTGCCCGTTGAGGGGCTATCAGGGGGTTTTGAGTTTATCACCATCAACAGCTTTATGCGGTACCAATTTCGGACCCCGGTGAACTCAAATCTGAGTTCATATCCATGTCTTGTCTGAGTCCTCTCATCCACTCAAATCGAAATGCTTCGTTTAACTTCAGACGACAAACATCAAACGTTAGTAATCCATCCGATTCGCCAATGATAGAAGATTTTCTCAGTCAAACGGCTGCAGCAAAATACTTTACCCGGAGCACTCACGTTGGCTCTAGTGCATGGTCAAATAGGAGTTGAGGGGGCTGACTCGGACCATTTTCAGCGAGCTTTTCTAGCTGAATGCTGGTGAAGAAAACTAAAAGACTTAGAAGGGCCATGTACTTGCCCCGGAGTTTTCTCTTTCCGTTTCGAAACATTTTCAGTAAGTGTCATTACGATTGAAGTTAGGTAAAAGTCTTTGATCCATTATAATAAAATGAAAAGTTTCTTTTGGAACCAAAGAGGCCGGTGGGATGTTGATGATCCATGTGGCATAAGCTAGATGTAATAAAAGCCCTCGTATCAGAACGAGGAATATCATGGAATAGAAAATTCAGTGAATTTCTGGTCTGAAAGCTGAATCATCTAGTTACGGCGAATGTTCAAATTAAGAGGCCATTTTCATGAAGAAGAGCCGTGTAAAAGCTGATAATTATTATTACCACACAAAAATTCACTTGTCTTTAATTCGACGACAAATGGTCCCGGACTTTGCTAGAGTCTGGTACACTTGACCTGAAACGAGTGCATATTGGATGAGACAATTGATAATGTTATAAGACCAACGCATTGTATGAAAACCCGCATCGCAAGAGAACACTGATAGTCAAGCTACATGTAGAAATAATTGAAACGGTCTGCCACGCAACTAGCTTTTACACCCAACTCCTGCTTTCCTTTCACCTCGTCTCTGCATACTTCATCCACAACGGCTCCTGCAACAACCTGTCCAAGCAGTTCTTCTCAACGCCCACAAGGATCTCCATCCCACCGTCCGGCAAGATAGGCATAACAACCTGCAACCCATTGATCACACCAACATGCGGCGCGCGAACGGCCTGGATCGTGTCGCCCAGCACCGGTCCCCACTGCACATCGTACAACGAGAAGTTCACCCATGACGTCTGAATGCAGTTGTTGCCGGGAACATCCAGGAGAGCCGTAGGGATGATACGGTTCACATCCTCCACCGCGTCAATGAGCGTAGCCACATCGTCGACAAACTGGTTGTCAGCGCGGATCAACGCCTGACGAACCAGAATCGCCAAGTCGGCTAGGGACGCCGAGCCAAGCATCTTACGGATCGGCGCCGAAGCCGCCACGTAGCCGAGGAAGCAGCCCATGGTCTCCGGGTGCACCGGCGGGTCCGTACGCAGGCGGGCGTCGACGGCGATGTTGAAGACAGATACCGGGTCGCCCTCAAGGGTTTCGAGGGGTGACTGCACCGCCATGACGGTACGCCAGAGCAGCGCCGAGAGCGCGTCGTTGGTCGAGACCCACCTCTGCTTCGTGGGCTCCGTTGCGTTTTCCGGAGAGGCTTCGGCCTTGAGCCTGGCGAGGGCCTCAGGCGAGAAGTAGAAGATTTGGCCGCGGTGGTCCTCGGAGAGAATCTTCGGCGGCATGCCCTCGGGCGTGAAGGGGATGATGGTGTACTCTGGGTGGTCTTCCGCACGACCTGGGTTCTTGCCGGTTGGGCTCATGATGCGTTGACGGTCTCTGAGAAACGCTTCATCGAGCTTGAAGGGATCTGTGATCTCGAGGCCTTGGGCTCGACGACATTCTTCTGCCCAGATCTTGGTCCAGATCAGGAACGTCTTCCCGTCTCCAAACATGTGGAATATGCACCAGGAAAGAATCAGCCCTCCTTGGATGAAGTTGGCTTGCGGAAGAGACACGGGCAACCTCTCAACCGGAGTTGCCCACACCGAGCGCCGGCATATAGTATTTGCGTCAAAGGAAGCCACCGGAAAGCTTTTGGATTTAAGTTCCGAGTAAGTCATGGGGAAAGCTCTGGGAGCTCGAAGGTCCTTGACGGTGATGCCTTGAATGTCTCCATGACGGAGTCTCTGAAGCTTCAAGACGCCGGCTTGCTTTGCGTCTGGGTTTGGAACAGCTTCACATCCCAAAACAGCGATACGCTGTTGTGCGGCTTCATACCCTGCGCGTAAAATAGAAGCAGCTTGATCGAGGTCGTAATCTTCGGGGAGCTGGAAAGGGAAGACATATCGAAGGTAGCCTTTGGGTCCGATACGCTCGAGGGGCGTGAGATCTGGGATCTCTGTGAAGCCCGATAAGGAACCCATGACTGTTGACGTACGCGAAGAGTATGCAAATACTTTTTGCTGTAAAAAGTATGGTAATAGCAAAAGGCTCAAGAATGGCGACTGTAATTATACCTGATACTTGAAGTCCTTCGCTGTGTCTTTGTCCGTACGCTTAACGCTCCAGACCATCATGTAACGCATGCTAGCCACGCCGCACTCGTACATTCAAATCAGGTCATAGCATATTACAATCCTCCAGCAAGGGAGGCAATGACTTCAGGGGATACTTCTTTCAAAGACTTGGTACTAAAGACAGGAACCTGCCGGTGTTCTCTTCCCTGTCTTGACGGCGTGAAATAGACTGTCGACCCTGTTCTGTGTTTTCTAGCCCTGGTTCCAACAAGAACCAGGATCGACCTCCTTCACTCCACATGGAGTAGGAGCCAAGGAAAGAGAAAAGGCCCATTCGACCATCTCAAGCTCGAGATTTGTCCTCAAACTCAAGAATATGTAATTAATACAGGCTTGGCTGATGCTCTCGCTGATCAGTATCCAGGTCAACAAGTATCCTCGTGCTACAAAGTAGTGCGTCGATAGTAGACCACTTCCAGCATCAACCAACAAGCTGGAAGTGTCCGTCATTTAGATAGAAGTAGGCCACGAAGAGGAAGCCACATGTGATATCCTTACCCTTCCATGCGGGACTCGGACCCCTGGTTCCCCGAGACAAAGCAGCCAGACGGGCCGTTGGTGAAGGACGGCAGGATCAGCGGCTCCTCGACGTTGCAACGTTCACCCGTCATCCCTTTTTAGAGATACTCGAGCCATCTCATTCTCGAGTCACCATTTTGCGCTCTGAAGCAAATTCAGCTTTCCGACAAGGATGGCCTGTCATCTCAAAGTCCTGTTGGGCGGTCTGGGCACTTCAGCAGGAACGTGAGTATGGCCCATCAACGCTTGCTCATTACATTCCTGTTCCTGCTTGCGTGGGACGCGCACCAACGAAGATGAAGTGTCAAGACTCCAGGGGAATTGCGGATCACAGAACAGATTCCGCAAACACAGAGCTTCCCCGTCTGTGCAGATAATCCTTGAATGGAAGAAATCAGAAACGATCCACATTGTTGGCCCTTTGGCGAGCCAGAAAGGGAAGCATCAGGCCATGCGGAAATCCGGGCCTGTCTGCCCACTACCAACAGCATTTTGAACCCTGCACCCTCTGGATACAGACGAAGAGACTGGACCCGTTGGGTATGCGGGACGGGGATGTCCAACGTGAATGCAACGGTGCACGGAAGCATCACGGTGGAGATTATACGCAGAGCAGCTGCGAATACCACGGCTTTACCTGGGTCGGAGGGTATCCGAAAGATACACGTCCAACTCCTCCAACATGCATCATATTTGCTTTTTGCGCCTCCTGGGACACCAAGCTGTGCCGCAACGATTCTTTGACCCAACTTTGAGATCCCATGAAGAAATGTCAACTCTTGGGATCTCATAGGATGGATGTCACCCATGAACACGTAGGCTCATCTCAGTCCTCTCCTCCCGTCCCTATCAACCCTTTCGCCGTGATGTAGTATTTCCCTTCGACTTTACACCAACTTCTCATTCCTCCGACGATGGAACCTGATCCCAACATCGTCGCCATCTTTGGTCCACCTCCAGATGGCCTCGACATTTCAGAAAGCAGCGTCGCTCGCAATGATGCCGCCGTCATAGTACTAGCCGTGCTAGCCTCCGTGGCCGTGGTGCTCCGGCTGATGGCGAGGTTTCTTCAAGGGCATAGTCTAAGGGCTGATGATTGGACGATTCTTCTCTCACTTGTAAGTGATTCATACTAATCTCATGGAAGTTGAGGATGTTCACGATGTTAATGATATCGTCTCATCACAGCTTCTCGTAGGCGCCACCGTCGGCCTTAGCATCGCAGGAGGAGCCTACGGCGCAGGTAACCACATCTGGTCATTCACACCTCTAGACCTAACACAAGTCTTCAAAGTAAGCCACCTTTTCTTGATCCTACTCCATCGAGATCCTCCTCAGAAGAATTGCAAACCCTCAGCGAGCTTGAACTCCAAGCTCATACTGACTGCCTAAACACAGATCCTCTACGCCTACACCTTCATCTACGGCACTGCCTGCGCCGCCACCAAAATCTCCATCCTCCTCTTCTACCAACGCATCTTCCTCCTCTCCACCGCCTCCTCCCCGTCCTTCAAGTTCTCCCTTGTCGCAGGCTACGTCCTCTCCATCGCCTACCCCATCATCATCTGGGCCACCATGGCCAACGCGTGTCGCCCGCTCTCGTTTTACTGGAACCAATTTGTGGGCGAAGAGGGCAAATGCATCGACATTAACACCTTTTACCTCGCGCTCGCCATCATCAACATGGTCAACGACGTCATCGTCCTCTTGATTCCCATCCCGCAGATCTTAAAGCTGCAAATGTCGGGTAGGAAGAAGGCTGCTGTTTGCAGTATTATGTTGTTAGGAAGTTTGTAAGCCACCGCCATTTTCTCCCTCCCCCCTTCTTTTCACCACCAATACACCCATAACCTTTAGCAATCACAACCGATACCTATACAAGACGCCCATACTAACCCAGACTCCCCTCCAGCGTCTGCGTAGCAAGTATAGTCCGCATAACCCACCTCTCAACCTTCTCCCGCGCCCTCGACATAACCTGGCAAATGGGCCCCGTCTTCATCTGGTCCGCAATAGAACCATCCATCGCAATCGTCTCCGCCTGCCTCCCCCACCTCGCGCCCCTCCGCCGCCTCGTCCGCCACAAAATCTCATCTTCCCTGGGCCACTCCAGTGGCAATGCTGGAGGTGGAGGTAGGCCCTCATCCAACAGCGCACCGTGGCGATTAAAGTCGAAGCAGAGCACCAGCGCAGGAAAGAACAGCAGCTCGCAAAAGGGGACAGGTGGCGCCATGTTCACGTACGGCGGGTCGAGGTTTAATTTTGGCGGTGGAGGTGGGGCCGAAGTCAAGTTGGGCGGGGAGTCGGATGATGAGATTGGACTTACGAATCGTATCACGGTTAGATCTGGCGGTGTCAAGAATTTGTCTACTGGGTCTGGGTCCGAGGAGAATATCAATGGGGGGTCAATTGTTGTTCAATCGAGCTTTATCCAGGAGAGCATGAGGAATTCGAGATAGTCGCCCACAAAATCAGGGACGACAGGACGTTCCCATGAGCTCGTGTACGAGACAGCGGAAAAGTGAATAAGAATGAATTAACAATGATCTTTTCTCGAGGTTCAAGTGAGTATGTACAGGGGAATCCTCTATCCAAACCCTGTGCCCTATGCCGCGAGACCAGTGTATCCATGAGTCCAGAGACGCCCACAGACGCCCACAGCTAATGCCCCAAAGACCCGTATGCTAACAAAAAGAAGGAAAAACAATCAGCATAGAAGAGACATGGTTCTGTTTGAAAGAACGCCTCTTTCAATGCTGCTGGCCCTGTTTTCTCTCCAGGTCGTTGGCGAGGTTCATGTGCATGAGGGCCTGGGCCGTCCAGTCCTCTTCGCTCTGGCCACCACCACCGCCCTGCTGATTCTTCCACAAATCCATGCTCTCTCGGCCGTCGACTCCGGGGAGGTGAATCGTCGGCGGTGTCTGGCCTGGCTTGGCGCCCACAGGCGGGGGGCCACCGTCTTCGCGACCAAAGGAATCAAAGTCTGGCAAGACGTAGCCGTGGCCCTGCGGCGCATTCGCTTGCTGTGCGAACGCAGGACCCTCGTCACCAGGCATCTCCGCAATGCCATCTTGGGCCTGTGGGGGGAGAGCTGCCATCTGTCCGACCTGATGCTCGAATTCTTCCTGCTCTAGAATTTGCGGTGCGTGTTCGACGTTGCGTAGGCTAGAAGACCCAGGCGCCAGGCCGCCCATGGTCATGCTCCTCTGGCTACTAACAGAGGCCCTGTGAGGGTTGGGGTCATCTGCACCAGGGTCGCCACCAACGATGCTGTTGGGGTCCATGTCTCGAATGGCGAACTGTGCGAGGGTTCGCATCTTACGGGTGACCCAACCAGCCAAAATCTTGCCGCGTTGCTTCTCGCCGAGACGCGATCGTGGGAAGTCGCCCTTGTTAACGAAGGCGACGATATCGACAATGATCTGGTGTTCATTGAGGATCGCGTTGACAATGACTGGCACCACGGAACCAAGGTAAGCCTTTCGTGTAATCTCGGCCAGCAGAACGACGAGACCGCCAGCTTGGAAGACGGCGCTGCAATCTGTTAGCCTAATGGACACTACTAATGGGGGATTTCAACTTACCATCCACCAGTCACGATGTTGCGGTGGCACCGTTCCACAGAGGCCTCGATATCCATAGGGAAGTGGCTGAGACCATTGATCTCAAACGTCTCGCCAATGTTGCCGAGAACGAACAAGACCTGCATATCAACCTGAGCGCCTCCAGGGCCGATAGGCCTGCTGACGTTATGCAAGAAACCCAAGTCGCCCGTGCGGACGTACTGAATGCTGGGATCACCATCGACGGTACGGCCGTCGAATCTTTCTGCGTCGAACACATCCTTGGAGCCGTAGAATGCCTTGACACAAGCCTCCGAGTCGACCCAAATCTCTCCGTACTCTCCATCGTGGCAGAGCAGTCGGCTCTCGGGGTTGACAATGGCGATTTGCGTAGAGACAGGCACCATACCGGAGTCCTGGAGCAGAAGCGCTTTAGGATCCTGTTCGGGATCTACGGGATAGATCAAACCGCGGCGGAGTGCCTTTGTGTCCAGCCAGAGCTCAATAGGCTCAATGCACATGTAAGACCTCGATGCGACCATGGGGTTGAGCACGTGAGAGTATACAGTGTTGATGGCGGTTCGGTCGAGGCCAGTAGCCGCGAAATGAAGCCGTACCTTCTGGAACACATCCACACGTGGCCGGCTTTCGGCCGAGATCATCATATTCTTGAGCTCGTGGAGCGTGAATCCCTTGCCCTGCATCGTGGCCATGGCGTGATCCAACATTTGTGGCGTCGCATAGGTGTCCTTGATCTTGTACCTAGAAAGAGTCACAAACAGCGACATTGGGTTTTGCGCAAACTCGACTGGCGAGAGTAGGTATGTGGGGGTGCCGATGTAGATGCCCATCAAGCATGAGTGAATGAAGCCGAGGCCAGTGGTACTACGCACACATCCCAGCACGGGGCGGGAACTTGTCATCTGGCAAGTCTCTTTCTGGACCTTGCACATGCCCAGGATGGTATCGTGCCCCAGCTGAACCGCAATGCGGCGCTGGTCGGGCGTCCAGTAGGTCCAGATGATTACAGGGTAACCAGTCTGGATCCAGGCGGGCTGCATGGTGATGCCGTTATCGCGCAGACCACTGCTTTGCTTTGGCGGCTTAGTGGTGTTGTAGTAGTTTGGCACACCGATCTTGAGAATGGAAGCGGCTTGTTTAACGTGGTTGGAAACCAGCTTCAGCTTGACCAAGTGATCAACTTCGTGATTGACCAGGATCGCTTTGACACGGAAGTCGGCGACGACATGCAAGAATGCCGGCACGTCCTCGTTAAGTCGGTTCTGATCCAGAGGGGCCAGAGGAATTACAACCGCGCCCAAGTTGATACAGGCATGGACGGCGTAGACAAACTCCTCTGAGTGCGTGTACATCAGAATCAAGTGGTCGCCAGGGCGAACCTTGACCTTGTTCTTCAGGTACAGAGCCACGGCGGCAACCTTGGTGTCAAACTTCTTCCAAGTCACGCCCTTGCCTTCTCTGCCACGACCGTCAATAGTGCAGTATGCGAGTTCCTCGGGTTGACGAGCAACGCGCCATTGGATCAGATCAGTAATGCAAGAGAAGTTGTTGAGCGGCGTTGAAGTGCGATCGTCAATGACAACCTCCCTTCGGTCGATACCCGAGTATTGCTTGTCGGATGACATGAGAATTCCAGCACGCGAGTCTGATGAAATCGGAGACCAAATGCCTCCTATAGGATCGACTCCAATGGGGAGGTTGAGTACAGCATGCTCAACACCAAACTTGACGTGAACGCAGGGCAGGTTGCCCAAGTCAAACTCTCTTCTGCATAGCATATTACCGATGTCCCTACGTCCGTTCTTGACTACTCTGGGCAGCGAGTTTGGTGCCGTGATCATGACGCAGTAAAGTCTCAAGTGGTGTTCTTGCATGAGTACGTCCATACATCTCTCGGCGAGGGAGTCGAGCAACGCAGTGTCGAGTTGCCTGGGGGGTCCGCCTGAGGTCAGAGGCGCGGTCGATGCAGCTGGTGATTCCAAAACAACAATTGGGAGATGCTCCTCGTTGACAAATACGTCAAACGCAGAGCAGTCGTAAATCTTGGGAACATTCTTGACGATGCTGACGACGAGGTGCTGTACAAAGAAGTACCTGTACTCAGCTACCTCGGTGCCATGCTCGACCCATTCAACCTTTTGACGAATGCGATCCTCGTAAAGGCCAAGCACAAAGAGCTTGCCCTCGATGACGGTGCCCAACAGACCAGTCCTCAGGAACTCGGGCTCTACAACAGTGGGTGTTGGCTCGCCGGGATCAAACTTGTAAGGCCGGGCGTGGAATATTTGCTCCGTGTGTTTTGGCAGAGCCCAGAAGCCTCCTGATAGTGATGGCGAGTCCACCCAGATTTCTCCGACGGAATGTGGTGATGCCAACAAGCCAGTTTCCGGATCGACGACTGCGAGAGTGGCATCGGGTATAGGGTATCCAAAAGCACCGATACGAACAGTGCCCTGTTCGGTAGCAGCTCGTTTTCGCGCTTCGTCTCCGATTGCGACTACCACAACTTCGTTCGTTTTCAACGCCTCTCTGTCGAGGAGCACCTCACTCAGTTCGTTCTTAGCGCGCTGCTCTGTGGTGGTGGTGCCGCCGCCTCCCAAGAGACTGCCGAATCCATTTGAGGGCGCAAGCTTCACCTCTTCCTTCTCTTCTTCATCGGAATCGATATCGGAACCCATGTCCAGCTTCAAGGGGCAGCCCATCCGCTCTTCGCCTCCTAGCCAGTCACGAATACTGATCACCATGCCACCGTGCTCTGGCAGGCATAGCATTGGCGCGACAACCTCGCGAGCTCGTGGGTTTCGAAGTGGCCTCAACCATCTATCCGCTAGTACTTCGTGAAATTCACCATCAACCGTCAGGGTATCAATTAGGCACAGTTTGACCGTCTGGAAGTTGGGCTCCATGCCCTTTTTGAAATTTCGTGTCGTCATAGGATCTGACTGGTAGTTGTAGGCGGCGCGCTTCAAGCCAGGGTAGTCGGCAATCATGAGTGTCGCTTTGTACTTGGTGATGAGATGAGCGTAGAGCCCCGGCACTTCAACAGCCTTGTTCTCAACCCAAACAGTCGTGTGACCGCCGTACACGGTGAGAAGGACACCCAGAATCATGCCAATGCCCTGTCGAGGATCCAGGTAAGAGAGGAGCGTCTCGCTGGTCGCTCCAGCACCGATGAGCCGGCCGTTCTTGTCGCGCAGAGTTCGACTAAAGGTATCACCAGGGCCATTTCCTGGCACCGTCGTGACCACAGCACTCAAGCAAGCCATCTGGTGCATGACTGTCCTGTGACTCAGGACCACGCCTCGCAGGTCACCCGTAGGCGCGCGGGAGAACTCGATGTATGCCAAGTCTGGTACTGTCAAAGGCGGGACATCGTCTTTGCGCTTGGGATGGAAACTGCCAAACTCGTTCGTTTTCCACCATTCTACGCCCTTGGGCCAATTAAGCTTCTGTGTTGTTATGTCGCGCTGGAAGGCCTTGAGGTTGTTGTCCGTCGTAAGCGCCAGATGCGCCTGCGTTGAGGTGAGGATCAGGTTCAGCTTCTGATAGTCTTGCAAATCATTGATCGGTACTGCAACTACGCCAGCAATAAAGCATCCGAGCAGAGCAATGGCAAAGTCGATGACTTCTGTATCGCGGTAAATCAGGGCAACGCGATCGCCGCGATACAGCGAGCTCTTGTCCCGAATGACCTGTGCCACCTTCTCGGCTCTTGACGCAAGTTTGTCCCACGTGATAGAAGCGATTTCTTTGCCCTTGCTGTCCAGCACCCAGTACGCGGGCAGCTTCGCCATCGTCTTTCCCCTGTGCCTCAGGACTGCGGCAATATTATCAAACTTGGACATGGGGGTATTGCTGTCGTGCGGGTCGGATATCGCAAACGGAAGGTCGCGAGGTTCGAGTGGCATCTGGTACTCGAGCACTTCTGGCGGGGGTAGGTCGTTCGCCGTGAGCATAGGCGGCGCCATGGCGGCCGTTGGTGAGAAGGCCTCTCCTGACGAGTATCTGTGTCCTCCGCCATATTCTTCCTGGCCATTCTGGTCGTAACCCTGTTGATCATAACCCTGTCCCTGCTCAAAGTTCTGTCCGCCGCCGGTGAAGCCCGAGAAGTATCCAGTCGAGTCGAGCATCGTGCCTGTCCGGCTGTCGTATGGGTTCTGCCCGTGCTGGTCCATGTAGTGGCCTTGCTGGTCAGGATTAAATGCGTAGTCGGTTGAGACCATCGTGCCTGATCGAGTGGGTGGCTCATTAGCGGCACCGAGGAAGAGTGAATCGTGCTGCTTCATGTTCGGGCGTTGGTCGGCGAGGGGGCCGCCAGGTCGGAGGAGACCCGCAGGATTCATGTCGGGCGAGGTATAGCCAGCCCCGGGCGATTGGTACCCAGGCGATGCGTAGCCACCAGAGCCATGACCTGAGCCGTGGCCGGAGCCATGGCCCGAACCATGACCGCCGAATGGCGACTGTGGACGGTATGAGCCGGGAGAGGTCGGGCTGGTGGGATCGGAGTCTCTACCGCCGAGCGCGGCTAGAGCTGCTGCACGGTGACCATCGCTCGAAGGGTGTCCCGGGTTGTCAGGGTCGTGGATGCCCAAGCCGCCTCGGGGTTTGGCAACAGCTGGAGCGGCAGCAGGTCCAGGGCTCATGTATATCGAAAAGAGTTGCGTCCGTCGCTTCTGGTATCTGCGGGGAAAGGGAATCGGTTAGCCGCTGTCGCGCCGTTCGCAAGAAACGGGGGAGGGGGAGGTCATGATGGAGGGGTCAGCACCAACCCTTTCTCTGTGATGTCGCCTTCCTATAGCCACGAGAATGCGTCAGTCAATGCGACAAAAAGCGATAGTAGATAGTTTGGACAAGGCTGCGGGTGCTCGAGCACGATGCGCACATGCGCGCATGCGCAAGGCCGTCGTCTCGAGGTGGACGCAAAGTTGTGCGATTCCAGACGAGACGGTGCCAAACGGAGACTTTGAGGGTTGCAAACATACCTCCAACTCCTTCTCCAGCTCCTCGAGCTTGTCCTGCAATTCAGGATCTAATTGTGCGGCCATGACGGGCGAAAACAATGATGGTAACTATGCACAATGGAAGCGCAGGATGCAACAGCGACAAGACAAAAAGGAAGGGGAGAGAATAGGGTCTAGAATGCAGAATGGGCCGAGACCCCCGGGGTTAAGGGGATTGTGGAGAGAGATAGAGAGGAGAGGAGGGGTGGGAGGTTCCGTTCGTAAAGAGTTTAAGGAGGGACGATCGCAAGCTGTCGATGTCTCTGACTCTGTGTCTGGTTGGATCCCCTCATCCAGTCTTGCCCAGGTCTTGTCTCGTGTGTCTTGTCTTGGTGATGGCAGTAGCAATTCCGTAGCAGTGGTGCTGGCATCCTCAAAGAAAAGTCTCGTGACGTAGGTTGGACCAGGACAGCAAGAAGTGCGGTCGCTTTACCTGGTTGGGTCAAGGATGGATGGATGTCAGGCAAGGTTGGTCGAGTTTCTTAAGATTAACCTGAAGAGGCTGGCGGGCAACTGGACTGGGCTGAGTGTGGGCGGGAGAGGAAGCCCAAGAGGAAAGGCGGCGGCGGCGACAGCTAACTTTGAAGGTACTTTCCTTTCCACCTTTCCACCCACCTTCCTTGGGACGACTCAGGGAGTCAGGGTTCCGGGCGGGAACACGGGGAATTTGGTAGTGCGGCCACGGGCGCCTACTGTAACTTACCTTACCTTACCTTACCTTTACTGCGTAGTTATTCGTACACCTACTACCTCACTGAAGGCGTGAGAGTCCAGTGTGGTGAATGATTATCGGTGCAGCATGTACTTCGTATTTCATCCAAGTTTAGAACGAGGAGGGGGTGATCTACCCTGAGCATCCCAAGAATGGCCAAGCAAAACCGTCCATCATAGTGGCCGTTATTCTCAGAGTTTATGTGTCCAAATGTTCGGCATTTCAAGTGGCCTGTAAAAGCTGAGAGAGTCATTCCGGGAGACGGGCAGCAACAAGTTCATCCTGGCGGAGCCGACAGCGGGTGTCAACTCATGAATTAGCATCGAGATCCCGGAATCACCATCCAAACAGACTTTCAGGTACCCGCAAGGCAAATCTCACACTCACTCTCACACTCACTCTCAGTCTCACACTCATTTTCATTCTTACTCTCACTTCCATTCCCACTCTCTCCATCTGTCACAAAACGCACAGGCTGGCGGCGGGTGGATACGATGAGAGCATCGAGACCTTCATCGAACCCCAGTCTCTGAGACGAATACCTGAAATAAGAAAGCGGCAGTCTTAACAACGTCGTCATCGACGCCCAGCATCGCCCAGCATTATAACCCAGGCCTAGCACCATCGACAAGGGCCCCGGGATGTGGCCGCTCAGGAAACCCCGAAATCAGGAAATCGGCCCCAGGACGCTCGACGGAGGCATACCCGATCGGGAACAGAATCCCCAACTGCCATGCCCTGCAACATTCCCAATGCTCTCATCGCTGCCCCCTGGGGCTCCCCATCTGAGCATCACCCACTCACCCCTCTTTCGGTCTTCGCTTTCAAGGCAAGTCTCCCCCCCTCCCGTTGCGTGGTGATCTTCACGTACCATTGCGGAATGGCACACACTTGCGGCACCCACCACGGTGAACACCAGTGGCCAGAAGTGGATGATCGGAAGAGAAAGGCCAGAACACCAAGGAAAATTGAGTTATTTCTGTCAACCTGCATCTAGGGACCACATTAGACCGTCTTAACTCTCCAGAACTTGAGAGCTTAATCCAGTGGAATTCTCCAGCAATGCAGTGCAGTGCAGAGTCCGCCCGCAAATGTCTCGCTGCTAGCCATATTAGGTGGTCTATCCCAGCTGGTGGGCACGAATTTTTTGGGGATAGCAGGTCAATATTGAGAGGTATTCGACCGCCGGACGGATGAAGGCGCAGGTCTTTAAGTCCTTGTCACCAGAACCTTGGTTATATGATGAATTCCATGAAGTTTTTTCCGTTGCTTCTAGTTCTAAAATCGCTTCCTTTTCGCTACTCTGTTGGTGACTACTTGAGAGAATCAGATGTAGAAGATTTCTTTGACGGATACAAAACCTTCACATTAGGTATGTGGCTGGGAAAAGTGTGGCACATGGGCTGTGGCTGAACCCCCCACGCTACTGGACTTCTTCCATCCCGTCGTCCCCAGCTACCATCTTAGCCAAGCCTTTGAGCTTCCTTCAACATCAGGCTTCAGTCACTTGCTAGACATCAAGATTGTTTCCATCCACAACGGATAACAATAGCTATTATGATCTTCTGAGCTCAGGTTGACTGCCCAGCACGGTCAAGTCAGTGCGACCGGCAGCCCACTAATCACACGTTGACGATCGACCGCACCACCGTTTCAAGGCCGCATTCGGATGCTGAGCCAACTTACCAGGCGCAATTAACCACATCAGACGACGGGAGATTTTCCAAATCACTCGGTCTCTACCGAGCACCTTAGAACATCTTGCCGCGACCAAAGTGGGCGGGTTTAAGCATATTATAAGGTATTCGGTGCCAATCGAGGATACCACGCGGCATTCAAAGCTTGTTTTTAATACACAAAGTCATAATCCCAAGTTCCAACTTTGCATCCTCTACTGCTATCAACATGGATTCAACTTCACGCATATTGGTCATGACGCCTTTCAGGCAGTGCAAACTGCAAAGGTCAAATCCCAAGGCTCCGGGTCGACGAATGAGAACACTCCGTGTCTCGCGGTTAGCCTTTCTAGGGGTCGTCTGAACTCGTTTTCCTCCGGATCACTTCGAACTCTGCTGATCATGAAACGCCTCTCTGGAATTACCGCTTATGGAACTTGCTCGTTTCTCACCGGACGAGTAAAACATGGTGGGGTTACTTCTCCCAGGAAGCCCAACACTCGCTGCTGTGGCTGCGCAGCTTGGTCTCGTCCCTTTAAAGTAGTGACTTGCACCCAATCTGTGACCGATTTACACTACAATAGGTCTCGGGCACCATCTCCGTGCTCTTACAACATTTGATTTCTTCTATCTTCGTCACTGGCAGTCACATGTGCCGAACGTGATAAGTTCAGACTTCTTTCCCAACCTCCCTGGCTCCAGACTAGCTGCTTTGCGAGTTGAGCTTGGTTGCGTATAACTACATTACCGTCTTGCTTCCGACCGCCATACGACTCCGACGATATGGACGGCCGGCACGCGTACGCTCCGCTGGGAGACTTCGACTCGAGCAAAGAATACAAATCCGTGGTCGATGAGGCAGGGGATGACTCAACATTAGAGGCAGAGGATTCACTACTTCCCATTAACACACGGCGCCAGGATACCTGGAGAAGACTTTCAAGAGCTGCCTTATGTCTGGTTCCAAGTTTCCTAGGACCAAAAGAACCCAAGGCAAAGCCACTTCGCTCTACGGCTTGGCTAGGTAAACAAGGACTACACTCATCATCTCTACCTGACAGGGCTAACATGTTGCCGAAGACGGTTTGCGAGGTATTGCAGCGCTATGCGTCGTATTCGTTCACTGCGGTCTGGTGTGGTTCTCATGGGACATCCAGTTAGCATGGACACCGAACCCACCTCGGCGATGGTGGCTATACCAACTACCCATCCTACGGCTCGTCGTCTCAGGTCTTGCTCCCGTTTCCGTCTTCTTCGTCGTGTCCGGCTACACAATATCGCACCGCGTTCTGACGTTGGCTCGCCGGGGAGAGTTCGACAAGGCAGGCTCGGCAATCGCGTCGTCCGTCTTCCGCCGCCATACCCGACTCTTCCTCCCCGCCGCCGTGGTCAGCTTCGTTGTCGCTATCATGACTTGGCTCAACTTGTTTCCCGACCAGGGGCTTCCCGGCGTGGCGTATCCGACGAGGGTTCCGCCGCACTTTGACTCTCTCTGGGGCCAGCTGCGGCATTATTTGATGGCAGAGACCTTGGTTACCGATCCCATCGGCCAGCCTCATGTGCGGGCCGATTCCGACATACCGGAACCGATATATGATCCCCACCAGTGGACGATACCGCTCGAATTCATCAGCTCCATGGTGGTGTTCATGTTTCTGTCGGCCTTTACAAGAGTACGCAACAGAGTGAGGATGTTCTTCGCGCTTGGCCTGGCGATCTATCTCGAATGGCTGTTCGTCTACTTTGGGATGTTCTTGTTCCTCAGCGGCATGTTCTTGTGCGATCTGCATCTCGAACTCGAGGAATGGCAATGGCGGTGGTTGGCCCCGCAGCCCGAACCACAGCCCTTGGATGGGACTGTACATCGGACATCAAAGCGAGGCAGCATACTCTCTCGTCGCGTTCTTGGACGTGCCGTCGGGCTCGTATTATTCGTGATCTCGCTCTGGCTGCTCAGCATGCCCGAAGACATGGAGCAGGCAGCACAGGCACCCGGCTACGTGACGCTCGTATCTTTGGTTCCAGCACGATACCAGGAGTGCCTCGTAATACCAGTCGGTGCAGTGCTGACAGTGCTCGTCGTCGACCACGCCGAATTCTTGCAGATTCTCTTCACGAACCGTTTCTCTCAGTACATGGGCAAGATCTCTTTCTCGCTGTACATGATCCATGGTCCACTTCTTTACTCCTTAGGCTTGGTCCTTGGTCGCTGGACTGTAGGTCTTGTCGATGGCGGAGACAGCCAGACATCCTATGTATTTGCTATCTTGTTGGCATTCCTCCTCTGGGCACCTGCGGCGATTTATGTTGCAGATCTCACTACCACCTTTGTAGACGCGAAGTCGATAGAGTTCTCCCGGTGGGCATACGGAATGCTTTTGAGGGAAGAGTGATAGATCATAGACATGCCGCGTATGAAATTCGAGTCAATCCAACCTAATAGTTGTTTTAGTAACACACAAATACCTACACCTTGCCTGGCTCACCTTGCCTGGCTCCAAAGCGTGATCAAGAATCATTCGCTCCCGCTCAGTGTTCCCCGAGAGATATCATTGGCTCGTTCAAGTACCCCAATCGAGCGCAGGTGCTCTTCCCAGAATGGGATAGTGTCATAAACACCCTGAGGCAGGAGCAGGGGTCCGTTCCTTCCTCGCAAGTTCGCAACGGCGTCAAAAACGCACGGCCCAACACACGGCTGCGGGGCCCTCTCATTCGTCGCCGACCTTTTTTGGCCAACGTCCTCGACGCTTATTTATCCGCCATCAAACAAATTTTCGTTCTACCTCTCAACTTCACCTTACTGCCTTTTCGTCATCTGCTTGCCATCTTGCCTACCTCCGTGCGAAGCTGGGAATCGAGGATGGCAACAAGATAGAATACTCAGGGCAGGCAGCAGTCGGCTTCCAGCCGGTGGTGTCACGCTCATTTGGGAGCATGGGATCGCAGTCACACCTGTCTCGAAATATGAGGCGGTAGATATCGCCTCCATTCATGGACTCGGATGCTCTTTCATCCCCCTGGCGCTTCCTTTACCAGACGGCATGGTATGACGGATGGTCAGGCGAAAGACTTCTTTGATCATCATTTACCGCCCGCCGTCGAGGATCATCGAGCTCGCACAACCACGGGTTCATTCCCCGGCGCGGCTATGGCCGAAACGACGCGACAAAAGACGGGCCTCTCGAGGTCTACATCTCGTGGTATCGACTACTCGATATGCGACACGGGACGCACGGGACTTAGGAGTCTAGACTGTCTGAAGTCGACGGCACGCTCGCAGTCTCGCTGCGCCTAGCTAACCCAGACAGGCAAACTTGAGGTGATGGATCTCATGATTCGTCAAACCTAGTCAAGTGGTATGTAAAACACTTCTTTTCATTTTCACCCTCAACCCATCAAATGATGAGACAAGCATTTATTCACAGACCTGTTCGGAATTTACTGTCGAGAAACGAGCATTTTACTCCTGATATCAAATCATTACCAAATCATTTCTTCAGCATCTTGATCATGCTTCAGTGGCTGACGAAAACCCAGACAGGAATAGGAATGTCTATGCATAGCACCAAGCTGGATTGACCCGGCTCGAGTCCGAGAAGGCCATTGTTGAAGAACAAGAGGAGCCCATCTCTTGTTTTCTCATCGCCAAGCCTCTTGTCTATTTCCGCCAGCGTCTTGCTCTAGCATTTTTTCCTCCTCTTCGCACTTTGTCCGTACCAATCAAGTATCTATAATAGCAATATCAACCTTTGTCAGCCAGACAATCTTGAAACACATCGAACAATGTCGCCTCTCCGCGTCCCCGTTGTTCATCACCGAAACTCTTTATGCGCGTCCTTCTTCATTGACCTCGATGGTGCTCTGCCACTGTGGAAGGGATGACTACCACACTTATGCCTATATATCGTGTTGTGCGCCCACCCTCCACAGCATCCTTACTCTCCCCGACCTCGGACTATCTAGACATTCGATTCGTTTTCACTTTTGTGTCGCATATACTCACCTTTAACTACAGACAAATTCGACTACGGATTATTCAAGCACAGGCTATTCAACTACACGAACCACCTTGATTCTCATTTCATCATCGAAGAGGACAGCAGCAAAATTCAAGCAGAAAGGGACGAACAGCACCACAGACTTCCATTCGTAAATCTACAACAACTTCAGAAACATAATGGCCATGATACTGTCCACCCCGGTGATGGACAAATTCAGCCCAGACCAGCTCCCGGGAACCATTTTCAACTACGGCAACGACTCCTACGGTGACGCAGACTCCTTTTTCAACTTTGACGACGCTTGCGTCGAAGGGCCGGTCCCCGAAGTTGAGGAGAAGACCGCGCAAAACCTAGAGACTGCCATCGAGGAGGCTATAATAACACAGCTCTCTGAGAGCCAAATCTCGGACGGCTCGCTTTTTGGAGGTAATGGAAACTCCAACGATGGGCCCCTACTCAAGTACGAGCAAGAAGAGGCCAAGCCCGCGCAGGCCGCGACGATCAACCCCAACGTTCTTTTCATCACACTACCAGGAACACCACCGCCACTCAAGCAGGAGCAGCGCCTACTAACACCTCACACCAACACAGACGCCATGCCTCTTGTGCTACCGAGCATAGAGCCGATAGAGTTGAAGCAAGAATGCAAGCCAGAGTTCCAGCAGGACCTCCAACAAGGCTTCAAGCAAGAACCTACCCCCTTCGTCGACGACCCGAAGCTCCAGGCCCTCTTCGAGGAATTCGAAGGCCCCATCGCCGAAGCCCTCCAACTCCCCACCGCGGCCCCGACTCCGGCCCCAGGAGCAGCACCCTGCGTCGGCACATCATGGCCCTCTCCCCCGCCGAGCGTTCCCTGGCCCTGTTTCGACGGTCTCGAGTCCAGTGGTGACACCACATGGGACTTGAACAACAACCCGGCCGCGGGGCTTGGCAGTGGCGGTGGTGGTGGTGGTGAAGATCTCTTTGCCTCCCCTCCTCCCCGCGACATGTTTGCTTACCAACGACCGTGCGGTGACCACCCGTCTTCTGGACTCGGAGACGCCCGCGAAGTCTTTGACCTCGATACCTTTGACTTTGACGACTCCAAGAGGGAAACGACGTATGACGGCCTCGAATCCTACAGCCCTGCCAACGTCCAAGAGGCCCCCAACTTTGATGGCTTCGACTTCAGCAATGTCAAACGGGAGCCCGCCTCCTCGACGACTTTCTTTCATCCTTCACCAAAGACCATTACCGACGTCTTTACCGCCCCTCCACCGCCGCAATCTCAACACCATCTGACCCCGAATCCCGAGTTCGATCCTTTGATCCCAGATTTGGCACACGTTTCGGCCGGTCAAGTTCCCTTCAGCTACGATGACGAATCAGTAAACTTCCTTTATTCCCTTCCACTGTTCAACCCTCTGACCACTCCACAGTCCATCCCGCGTAGTGCGCCTGCCACCACTCCCACCCCCGCCGCCGCCACGGCGAGACTGGTGCACCCCAAGCCCAGATCACCCCCTTTCCCTGCCGACTTCATCCACCGTCGCAGCCTGTCCAACGCACCGACAGACGTGACACCCTACAATATCCTTAACAGACAGGGCTTCTTTGAAGCCGGTACTCCCAATCCCCCATCATACCTGACTCCAGCTCACACTCCATCCAGAGACCTCACAACCCCCGTCGTGAATGGAAAAATTCTCAAGCGTATCCCCAAGCCCGCCAAGGCCAAGGACGTGGACGCATCAGACTGGTATGAGTCACTCCCCGAGGCACCAGCGCCCTGGGGCGGCCACGACCATACAAAGCCCATGTTCCAATACAACAAGGAAGGCGAGCTGCTGCCGAATCTGCGCTTCACCCGTGAGCAGATCCTGTACTACATCAGGGAGCGGAAGCAGCAAGGTCTCCCCCTCACCCTCTGGATCCAAAACGTCCCCCACGGCTGTAAGACACGAGTGGGCGATGACAGACTACGCGCGTGCCGCTGGTCAGGCTGCCCGGCCTACAAGGGCACCATCCTCAAGGGCTTCTGGCGCGTCTGCTTCGACGAGCGACCCGAAACTTCGGGGAAGCAGCACGATCCGTACCACAACGCGGGCTACATGCACTTGTGGTGTATGGACCGCTGCTTCGATCTCCTCGAAATTGCCCAAGCATTCAATCTGAAGCCCGATACACGCTACTTTGAGAAGGAAGAGCGCAACCCCATGGCCATGACCCGTGATCACGACGAGCTGGTGATGGAGTTTGAAGAGTGGCGCACGTCCCAGCAGGCCGCCTACGAAGAATGGCAAAGGTCGGCAGAGACGAACAAGATGATGGGTCTCCCCGTCCAGAACCGCCAGGTCGGCCGAGAAGCCAAGCTGTGGTACGTGCTGACGACCAAGCACCTGGCGCTGGAGACTCCGGTGCGCAGCAACATGCGGAAGAAGAGAAACGGCATTTCCATTGATAAGCACAAGGGTGACCTTGACTGGTACGTCGAGAGAGTCAACGAGAAAAAGGTATCCAAAAAGGGACACTCCATCGTCGAAGAGCGTGATAGCGCCGACGAAGAAGGCCAAAAGACTCCCGCAAACAGGGTAGCCCGTCCGAGTATCATCGATAAGAGAAAGCGCGAAGAATACGAGTATGACGACAATGACAACGCCGCCTCTCAGCCGCAGACAGCCACTTGGAGCAAACGTGTGAAACAGTCGTGCTATTCACCCGTTGAAAGACGTTGATCATTGATGCCCTTGTCTACCTAACCCTATGGTGAAGAACCATGCGCCCCCCAAAAGTCTTTGTAATTCGTGGCCACATTGGGATGTTTGTTTTCTGGGCTGGAGCAAGGAGCTTTGTTCACACGACTGCGGTTAGCTTAGGATTGATACCCCATATTAGATATAGATGCATCCAAGAAGGCGGGGAGGAGAAGAGCATAAGAGGCCTGGTCTGAAGCCTTGACGAATCAGCGATGCAGACCAACCTAGTATCAACATGATTAATAACAGATCTCTAACCCAAGACTTGAGCGCATTTCTCGAGTGACAAGCGTGATTCCTGACTCACAATCCAGGCTCTTGCCAAGGGTCCTGGAGCTGGGGCCGGCGCGGCCGCCATGCGACGGTTCCAAACGGTCGGGCGGCAGGCTGCGGCCGAGAGCACGCGCCCGCGCTAACGGGCCTCAAATCAACCCCAAAAAGATGGGAAAGTTCGGACAAGTGCTGTTTACAGGTGATAGGCAGCGGGCGCCAAAAGGGCCGGACGAGGTTTTGGTTCAAGAAGCATGGCTTGGGGCACTTTAGCTGCGGAGCCCTCAACATAAGAGAGTTTCGATTAAGAGAAGCGGAATGGAGGGGCCGCAGAATGAACTGGGGATGACCGGAAGCGGTGACATGGTGTGGATGGCTATTTTGCGTGGAGGATGGAGACTCTGGCAATGGATTGGCAACGCCGTGGTCCGTACAAAGTATCCCGGCATCCTGAGATGGGCAGAAGCTGAACAGACTCGAGGAGGACAGACGAAGAAAGGCCAGGTCGGCCAAGGTGAAAGCGGGCCGCAGTGTTGGTGCGAATGAATCGTAGCTCTCGCGGCCCCGCGGGTAAGAAACGTTGGCGTGCGAAAGCGCGGCGAGGCCGAGGGGAGTAGGGGCGCTAGTCCTGAACGGAGATGCTACGATGCAGGAGGGCGCCGTGCAAGTAAGATGGTATGGAGTAGTATCGTCTCAACAGAGCTGCTGGATCGATTCCTATTGAACGGCTTATGGATCTCGTGCTCCTCTGGATGTAAGGCAGGGCTGAGAGGAAACGAGGAAGGCAAAATGCTGCGTGCGCGTTAGCGGGGGCGGACAGGCTTAGCAGAGCCCGGCGGCTGAAAGTGATGTCTATCCGTGGTGTGTAAGGTATGTCAGTCAATGTTGGGGATGGGGGAATGTGAGGGTGTTGAGCTCATGTGAAAGTACAAATAGTGAGGTGAGTTTCTTGCTGTCGTAGTCATAGCTGATTGTAATAGTCATCCCATCCTTGCGAAAAAAGGAAGTCAGTCGGCTTGGAGTTTTGTTCTCGACGAATTCGATGAGGTAGTTTTGACTCAGACATGGACCAAAGTAAATCTTGACTGACTTATCACCTTGTTTCCTCCCCCCCTTCTTCCGTCGTTCCATTTTTGTTCTTTGGCTTTGACAGTTTGCGACAAAAGGCAAAAGCCAGTCACGATTCATCGCATTAAGATCCCAGATACGTGCTACGGGTAGCACGGCGGTGGTTGCCGTCGGGAAGAGGGTTCAGAGTGCCTGATTCGCTTCATCCCATTCTTGAGCTTCGAGGGGCAACTTGGGATTGTCTTGGTGCGGCATCGAAGCCCGCTCATCCCCGCGAGCAGTCGGCGATCGGACATCAGACGGCACAGAGCTGGAACACTGGGCTGAAGCTTAGCCCTGAAGGGAGGGCATCGGGTGATCTTCAACAGCGTCTTGGATGGGACCTTGCCGACATTCGACAAGCACGAAAGCCGAAACAGGATCTGGCATTATTGGCCGAAGAGGGCGTCGTCGACACCAAAATAGTCAAGGGAGCACATTGGCTGCAATTGAGTTTACGGTGACGAGAAGCTCGAAGACTGAAAGAGGCAGATGTGCAGCCGAAGAGCAAGATTGAATTTGGAAGAACAACGAGCGAAAATTGATGCGACGACACCAAAAAAGGCTACGACACGTCGACACCACGTTGTGCAGAGTTGAGAGTTTGCGAGGAAGGTGCTTGTCACGTTGCGCAACGAGTTGCAACTCGTGTTAAGATTGGAAGGCACCTCACGGACTGGGGAAACCACCAAAGGAACGAACCTACCTGCTTGCCTGACCTTCCTGCCTCACAAGTTACAGTACGGAGTACCTTCCTTATCTTAACCTCTTCTTGCCTTCAGGCAATCACAATCCACCTCATTACGCCTTGGAGGTTTAGAACTGGAAGGTCCCGGCCCCGTCTACAGATACCAGACTCTGGTCCGATATCCGACCCGACATATTTCGGGAAGTCACAGCCGGAAAGTCTGTCATCGTGCTTTCATCTTTCTGACTGTTGATTCCATGCTGGGGGAAGGTTTGAGTACCCTGAGGGAGAGAAAACAGACAACAAGCAGCAAGAGCAGCACGATCGGAGTGCACGAGCCAAGTGAGCACCTACCTACCTTACCCGACCTATCGGACCTAAAGCAACACCTTACCTACCTTAGGTTGAGCCTTGAGGCACATTAATTCCTTACTGCAGTGCAGGTGCGGGCAGAGGGTTGTTGCCGCAACAGAGTTCCGGTCCTTGCCAGTAAGCAGGAGCGGCTCACCAGGTTGACTTGCAGGAGGCAGGAGGCAGGAGCAGAAAGTAAGAGCTGCTCTGCTTTGCTCTGTCATCACGTCTCGGGATTGGTACTTGCAGATACCCATTATTGAAGTGGTGTTTGGGGTATCATTTCCCGCGCATTCCGACAACACTCAGCAAGCGTACATCTTCTGTCTGTGTGTGAGAGAGAAAAGCTGTTATCGCAAACTTTTGGTGGCCACTTTGCGCTTCCTACACGCTTTTTTTTTTTTAAATTTTTTTTTTACCTTAACCAGAGCACCTCAAAAGTCATCCCTCCATCCATCCATCCCCAGCAATCCCTCCACCTGGGCATCCATCCCACCACCCACCTTAACACAGCACCCCCCTTGACTCCTTGAGTCCCTGGGCCATCCACGTTCCTCATTGTCACTGCATGTCGCATAATACCTTTACTGCGTACCTACTGCACAGCAGCTGCACCCGACCGAGGTCGTTTACGCTCACTCTCTCACACATTGCATCGCATTCGCAGCTGCAACTCAACTGCACCGCGCACCCACGCACCCGCGTTGCCTTGCCATTCTGTCGTCACGTCAAAGCAACTTGGTCTGGACTCTCTTCGTCTCCCATCTAATTCGATCCTGAACAATCCCAAAGCCACAAAGCCATTCAAAAACCCCCCTGCCCATCGGACTTAAACACCACTCGACCGCTGCCATCCGCGCACCGATTCCACACGCCCGTACCGCGCCCACCAAAGACAAGACCTGATCAGCTGCTGCTCCAGCTCCAGCTCCAACTCCTAGGAGCTCTCCACTCTCCAATTAATACCGTACAGAAGCACCGCCGGCTGGGGCACCACTCAAACCCACCTATCCCGGGAGCCACGACGTCGGCCTTCGGAGAAGCCGTCCATCTCATCTCGAGATCCATCCGCGTCCCTTTTTTTTCTGGTCTTTTCTCTTTCCCTCTTTGGCTTGACTGTGGGGAAAAGACCGTCAAAAAGGGAACCTTGAAAGAGACAAGATCCAGAAACCGCAAAGGGGGTGGTGGGCGCAAACATCAGACCTGACGAAAGCCCCAGCCCTGTTTCGTTCCGACCGACCTCCATCAAGATCGCAAAACTGTGTCTTTCTCCCGTCCATCGTCTACCTTATTCTTTCTTTCAACCTTCTCACATACTTCGTCTCCCGGCAACCTTACGCCCGTCATTGCGTCTCCACGCGCCGCAGCATCCAATCCGCCAAGCCTACCTTACGGAGTACTCGTCTCTTATTGCCGACTTACCTGGTCTGCCCAGACGCCGAACCATCCACTCACCGACGACACCCTCACCCCGCGCTCACCGACGATCTCATTCACATTGCAGATTCCAGATCTGTCAGCCCCTGCAAACCAACCATCAAATCCCACCGGAGCGCGGCTCTCTGTACACTGCGACTGATCGCATCTTCCCCACCAGCCCAGAACGAAGACTGTCGCTGCGTCGCATGCCAATTCTCATCTGCCGTGCCGTTCCGTCTTGTCTGCCACAGGCCCCATTACCTCATCGTGGCATTGGCAGCCCGTCTAGGCGGGGTGGTGGCTTTGTAGAGGCGGCATTGGCTGCGCTCTCGGCATTGGGAGGAATTCTAATTCTATCAACCCTCTTCGCAACTTATTCTTTCGTCTCGCATCAACAGCTAGTCCGCCATGGAAGACACAAATGGCGAGAAGTCGGAGAATTCCCGTCGGCCGGCCTTGCAGGTCATTGTCCTGGTATGTTGCACTCTCACATCTCACGTCTTTTGATGCGCCTCACTGCCGACTTTCAACGTCGCAGATCGCGCGCGTTCTCTTTCACATCCTCGAGGCTTGTTGGGCGAGTGTGTCTCTCCTGAAGGAAGAATAAACCCCCCCACGAGATCATCCCGACCCGGCCGCCCGGCGCATATCCTCTTGTCGTTCATGCAGTCGACTTTTTCGGGTTGCGCCAACCGCACCGAATGGGAAATCCATGCTGCAAGCACCTCAACCCCCTGGAACCTTTGCAAGTGCAGCAGCCTTGGGCGAGGAAGAGTCGGCATTTCTTCTTCAACACTTTGCGCATGCGACTGGAGATGGACACATCTTTCAATGCGACGGGAGTGACCTGTCGCTTCTTGGCCCGGGATCCCCTCAAGAGTGGCCCCATCATGTTCGCACCTCCGCTAACCCAATTTTCCAGGGTGCCGGCGGCGGTCCCCAGGAATCCAATACTACCGCTCTTCTGGTCCGCTCAGTCGCCTCGGGGTGGACAAAAGGCTCCATCATCGCCGTAGATGCTGGTGTTCATCTTTCGGCGATTACACGCATTCTTGAGAATACGGCGCCTCCAGGCCTCGGCACACAGCTTCCGCTCCCCCACACCCTTGCCTCCGGGCCATTTGCAGGCCTGCAGCTTACACCA